TTGGGTATAGACGGCGGCAAGTCTATTTTTTTTGCTTGCAAGGGCGGGAGGTGTGATGATGATATCGGGACGGTTATCTTTTTTTTGGGTGGGTGAGTGGGGACCTGGATGGTGTTTGGACATTGCTGGCATCTATTCCAAAGTTACGAGAGATACCAAGGACTATGTAGATTCCTTCTTTCTTTTCTTCGTTTCTTGGACATTAGATACCAAAAATAAAACATATATATATAAAAGCACGATTCATGTAAAAAGATGAAGACACTTCTCGGACCGAAAAAAATACATAGAGTTCAAAGTTCAGAGTTTATATTGCCATCAACCCCACAAAAAATATGTACACGGAAATATAGGACAGTAAGATAGATAAGACCATTCCAAAGATTCTCCGTAAAAGAAAGTGTGATTAAATCGTACACTTCATTCTACTTCCCAAAGTTAAATTCATCCGCACCATTCTTCCACTTTGCGAAAATCTCAACAGGAAACTGTTCAGCAAGGTGCGCGTAACCCACCGGTCCCGGGTGAAGATAATCACCGCTATCATACTGGGGCGCGAGCTGACTAGGAATCTTAGGATCAGCCAGGAACTTGTCGAAATCGACAACGGCATCAAAGACGCCGCTGGTACGGATGAATTCGTTGATGCGCTGCCTCGTCTTTTCGCGCTCAGGGTTCGAGTAGGGCTGGCCGGTGAAGTTGGAAGGGGCACTGAAGGGTGTGATGGTTGCGCCAAATACAGGAATGCCATGGGCGTGGATGAGGCTGACCATTTGCTTGTAGGCTTGGATGAGGGAGGTGTAGATTTGGTTCTGGGCTTCGGGGGTGGTAGGGGCGCCGCCAATGTCGTTTACGCCCTCGAAGATCATGGCGTACTTGACGCCTGGGTGGGCGAGGACGTCGCGGTCAACACGGCCAAAGGCATTTGGACCGAGGCCGTCTGCGAGAATACGGTTTCCGCCTGCAGCAAGGTTGCCAATGGAGATGGACTTTGTGGCTGGGTTCTTCTGGAGGCGGGCGAGGAGGAGATTTGGCCATCGGTTGTTCTTGTCAGTGGTGGAGCCACGGCCGTCCGTGATGCTATCACCGATGATGAGGAGTGAGCCGACATTTTGTGGGACCCAGGCTTCAATCGATGAAATGAAGTACCAATGCGCTGCTGATTGTGTCGCTGGGTTGGTAATAGCTAGACTTGGCGCACTAACGGCGTTGCCAAATTGCCACCAGCTGGTTGTCCGGGATCCTGGATGGCTAGTGATGCTGTTTGTCCTCTGACCAGCTGCGAGATACATGGTTACGGTGATGACTTGTTGTGCCTTGATTGGGAAGTTGATAGGATCCGATACGGCGAGTGCGCCGTTGGGGACACTGATTCCATCTTCACCACCAAAAGTGACCTTTTGAAGCGTCTGAGGCTGGATGTCGTAGATACCAGCGGTCTGGTTTGCGGGAAGTGCGACAGTAACAGCGGTGATGGGGAGGTTGGAGCCACCAAAGACGTTTGTGAATTTCAGGCGGATCTGATTGGCGTCGGTGGTCACGTAGAGCGTCTGACGAACGGTACTGTTGACGAAGACAGCTCCGGTTTGGTTCTGTGGGAGCTGGGTTAGAGATGTATCCACAACCACGGATGACGAATTATACGTACAAATGGTGCTGGTGGTAAATTTGCTGGCTCAGTGAGCTGGGGCATTGTTGCAAATGCATCGACCCAGTGGCCGCCGGAAGGATTGGGGCGGATGCTGGGCTTGTTGGTTTGTCTACTGTCGATTGCATTGCAGTGAACGGACACTGCAGCGCCCGCAAGGAGCACTACCAGCCTTGAGAAGATCATCTTGACTTGATCACTTTGTAATCGAGAACGGTAAAGAACGACGACTGTACAAGCAGACCCAGGAGCCAGGACACGAGCATATTTAATACTTGACGGGAACACCTAAATCACGGATGTCTGGGGGACCCCAGGGAGCTAGACAGGAACATTAAAGCCCATTGAGGATAGCGCACGAACCGATCTACGGCCTGTTCCTGAATAGGCATACGTGCGGGCGTCACGTTGTGGGGTTTGGTGGAGGGAGCGGATAAATTGGAGAGGACAACGAAAGTTGGTTGGTGGGCAAGAGGCTCTTTACCCATCGGCTGCAAACCGCGTAAACTAGATACACGGCCATGGCTTGCTGGGTCTTTAAGACTCGGATATAATTATTCCGTCAGTACAAGTAGGTGGGAAGAAGGCTGAAACAAGGAAAATCGTGTATCCGTATTCATTGGTATCGTATCAATCGAGGTAAACAGAACAAGACAACGCCGCCCATGCAATGCAATTGAAGAAACTGTTCCATCGGCCTGTAGAAGGGCCGCCTGTTACCATGGTACCTTGCCTTGTGCGTAAGTCGGGCAGAAGATTGTATTTGGTCAAAGAAGTGCCCGTAAGCAAATAGCGTGGCGCATGAGTCCAGGGACAAAATGTGGGGCTTGGCGTCCCTCACATTGACGATGTTCTACTGCAACGCGCAAATGAGCCTCATCTGTTGGAAATTGTAAGGGTTGGCGTGGCCCAAGGGCAGAATGGCAAATCTACATGTTTGCATACAACGACCTCGTGGGAGTGGAGAACCACTAGGCCGAGTTGAGATGCAAGTGGGTGGTGGCGCGCGTCCATGGTAGTCGAATGGCAAACAGGGAAGCCGAGAGGACCCGCAGGGCAAACGGGGGGCTAGCAGCTTCTTTCTAGGCGACGGCATACATGACGTCGACGGGTGAGGCTGCAACGAACGGCACGCTTGTGCGCAGAGGGCAGTACGGCATTAACGTTTCTGTTTGGCTTCAAAAGTCGTCGTCGCTGTCGGCCTTTTTCTTTTTCCGGCTCGACGTCTTCTTCTTCTTGCCGTCGACTTCCATGTTGTCGGCCTCGCTCTTGTCGGGCGCATCGGCGACTTTTGAGACAATCTCGTTGAGGAAGTCGAAGCGGTCTGTCTTGGTAATTGCCTGCTTAAGATGGATGGAGCCGACGCGCTTCGAATTGCGCGACTTTGCCTCGGCGGCAGCCTTTGTGACGAGGGAGATCATGAAGAGCTCAAGGGCTTTTGCTGGGGGTGCGTTAGCAAGCACTGGCGCGGGCAAGCATGGGGTGGGGGAGGGGAAAGGAGGGACACGTACAAACAACAACGGGTGTGACTTGGGCGACCTTTCCGACGTCATCATCGGCCTGCATGATGCGCTTTATGCGCGCGACAGGAAAGTGGTTCTTGATGGTGATGTGGTCGGTGTTGGGCAGGTCGGGAACTGCAGACATTTGTGGGAGCGACGCGTCGGGGATGTAGTCTGCATCGTGCATAGCGTCCCCGCTGGCGAGATGGCGAGGCATGGGGCTCTGCAGCATGGGGTGGGAGATGTGCTGGGGCGGTGCTGGGTACTGGTGGTGGTGTTGCGGGTGGTGGTAGTGAAGGTGCTGGTGGTGGGCATCAGAGGAAGATAAATCTGGCGGCTGTGGTGGAGCGCAGGGCATAACGACAGGGGGCAGGCGCGAACTATGCGGGCGGTGAAATGCTTTTCTGCCACTGTGCCAGTCGTCACTTCCGCGCGAGGGCGGGGCATCCACCGCGCTTTATCTGCTCAGGGAACCTTCCTGCCAAGACAAGGTGGTACGTGCTCCTAGCTCCCCTGCGCCCGCACCATGCATCGACTGCTACTCTCTATCCCTTCCTCTTCTCTTTCCTCCCCCAGTGGATGACGATAACGAGCACGCCGGAGACCATGACCGCGACTCCGCACACACAGTAGACGTCGCGGTACCTGCCTCTGCCCGCAACGACGAAACCCGCCCCGGGCATACCCCACGGCTGCGGTTGATCGGCGCGCACGAGCAGGCGTCGCTGAGGCTGTAATTACTTGATCTAATCTGACACTATACAAGATACGTACAATACACTCTACACAGTACATACCCGCGCCCCCTCAGCCATCCTTGGTGATGCTGTCGTCCTCCTTGCGTCCTTCTCTGTGAGGCCCCTCGCGCAGCCACGTCGTCGCAAGGCTGTTCTTCGGGTCATCTTCAGGGTACCCGCGCTGTCGCCGCACATCGACCACCGCCTGCCGTACGCGCCTTGTGCACTCTTTGCGTATCTCGACGGCTTCCTTCGAGTACTTGAGCGAATCGTTGAGTACCCCGACCGCCAGCTGCTCGCCCTTGACTTGTTCCTTCGCCTGAAGCTGCTTCCACCGCCTGCGCAAGTCACCAAACACCTCTTCGGTATCGAGCTTTTCTCCAAACGTCACCCGCACGTTCTGAAATGGCCGCGGGATGAATCGTGGAAACGTGCGTGTCTCGTGCATGATGTTGTCGAAGCCCTCCACGAAAATGGGCACAACGTCCGGCATTGGCTCGCTCTCCAGTATCAGTCGCGACACACCCCACTTGAAGTAGCGCATGATTCTCTGCTCGCTCTGGTGGATCATTCCCTCGGGAAAGATATGAACCCACGCATGTCGCCGGTTTTTGTACGCCGAGGGCGCGGGGAACGTGTCGTGGCCATTGGTAGAGAAGGTAAGGTGCCCCCCGCTAAAGGGATCAATGAGGTCTGGGCTCTTGAGTGATGTCGCAGGCTTCTCCGGAGGGTCTTGTTCGTGCAGAAAAGGTCCGCGCGACAACAGGCGAATCGCTTGCGTTATGGTGGGCTGGAACAGGCCGCCGTACTGCGAATGCGCAGAGCGGTGCGTGGGGAGAACTTGGCCAAAAGTGAAAAAAGTTGACAGCCCTCTGTCCCCTGTTAGCTATGCGACGGGCCATATGCGGCAAACGTACTTGTTCGTGAAGCACAAATCATAACTCCCAAGTCCCCAACGCAGATTATCCGGGTTGAACATGTAGCTGAGGGGAAGAATGCCCCATAGGATCGGATCGTCCATTCTGTTCCAACTGCATGAGCACAATGCTTTGTCTTGCAAGACCAATGCCGCGGCAAACGTACGTACACAGATATGTGGTTGGAGACTGCGAGGGTAATTAGCACAAACACATGGTCATGCAATTGGCTTCCTCGAATGCATACCAGTAATCAGCCCCCTCTCCCTCTTTGCAGGATCCTCTCTCTCATCGAGCAGCTGCAGAAACTCGTCCATGCCGTGAGTCTCGACCTTGCTCAGCCCAGTGAGAAACCCTTTGCACAAAAGCCCCACGGCGCCCATTGTGATCATGGAAGCAGCGCGCCATGGCCCACTGGGCGCCTCTGGCTGGTCCTCTGGTCGCATTGCGAGTGTTGTAGGTCAAAGAACGACATGTGCAGATTTCGCGTCCCGCGGGTGAGCAACAGCCTTGCACCCAACGTCACTGGCCGCCTGTCCGCCAGGAACCAGGCAATTTTGGCGACAGGGATTCCGGTCAGGCGGCCGGCACGTGCAGCCACTGGCTGGCTCTTCGTTCCCCGGCACCTCCCAGCTCTCCTACACTACCCGATCCATGTCAGCATTCCGACATCTCGATACCCCATTGTAGTATTGCTGCTACGATACTCCTGTATTAATGTCACCTGATCAAGTACATACACCACACAGTATCTGGTAGACTCAAACTTGGCACCAACGCACGTGACCAACTGCAAGCGCGTCGCAAACTAACACTACATGGGTGCGAGACGCGCTTTGCCATTATCAACCATTTGCCTCTACTCCTAACCAACTCGTCTCACATCGCCTCAACATGCCACCGCCAAAGACTGTCTTCACATCGTATGAGCGAAACTCGCTCAAGGATAGATGGGGTTCACAATCAACGCGCCTCACACGTGATTCATTCTTGCCATTCGGCTCCTGCCAGCTCTGTCTTCTTCCATCAGTAGATCCAGTATGCTGTTCACAAGGCGACCTCTTTTGTCGGGAATGTGCCTTGACGAATCTCTTGGCGCAGAAAAACGAGATGAAGCGGATGGAAAAGCTCAATGAGCGGCAAAAGCTCGAGGAAGAGGAGCATAAGTTGCGCGAGGAAGAGGAGGCGAGGCTGCGAGCGGTAGAAGAGTTTGAGCTAGTCCAGCAGGGACTTTCTGTCAAGGCAGGATCATCAGCAAAAATGGTTGGAAGAGAGGGAGGCAAGATCATGGTGGAAGAAGAGCAGGATCACAGAGCAGCTGGCCAGGGCAGAGGCACGAAGCGAAAGTTTGAGATTGACGAGGAGGAGCTTAAACGCATTGCGAACGAGGAACAGCGAAAAGCAAAGCGCAACCTGGACGAAGAACGCAAAGCTGCAAAAGGCCATCTACCGAGTTTCTGGGTACCAGGCGAGACACCTGATCAGCACCATAAGACTGCTGAAAAGGCAAAGAACACACCAATATGCCCGTCCAGCTCCCCCGACCAGCCTCACAGTCTATCCCTCAAGGGCCTCACGAGCGTTCATTTCCACGAAGAAAAGTCGACGGAGACCGGCAAGCCTGTGCGCACGTGTCCAAGCTGCCAAAAGGCATTGTCAAACAGTACAAAAGCTATGCTCGCTATCCCCTGCGGTCATGTCCTCTGCAAGCCTTGCGTCGACAAGTTTCTCAAGCCCGAACATCGTCACCACCGCGATGCGCATGATGACGCCCCCGAACCAGATACGATACATTGTTATGTCTGTGACGCCGATCTCAGCACCGCGCCAGATGCCAAGGAGGGAAAGAAGAAGAAAAAGAAGGAACAGGCGCCCAAGCCGGGATTGGTTGAGATTCGGAGTGAAGGCACAGGATTTGCGAGTGGTGGCAAAGCTATGGTTAAGAGGGAGGGTGTTGCTTTTCAGGTTTAGGGAGTGGAAGAAGTTCAAAGAGTTAGTCATTGGTAATGAGCATCATCACGTCCTAGGTGGATTTAACCCTCATCGAGTCACACCACCCAGCAGAGTAGAATACGACTTTAGATTCCGACATTCCTCGAGTCAGCCTAATACCATAGATCATGTGGTCAAGAGAGATGGATAAGAAATGCAACGGTTCATAGGGACAAAATCTTATTTAGAGTATCTTCTCAACAAACGCTGGCTACTACACATAGAACCCCATGTAGCACAATCAGTCAAACACGCTCCCGCGGCTCCACTTACTCGCTCTCCTCACCCTCTTACCGAATACATAAAACACAAACGGCACAGGAATAAGAAGGGCTGCAAATCCACCCGTGATGGAACTAGCCGGCCCAACACCAAGATTGTGATACAACGGCGTAACAACTAGCGGGAACGCGCCAGCGAACACACTGCGCAGAAACGTGTTTGCCGCCACTGCACTCGCTGCGTACAGTGTGAACGTGTCAACGAGGTAGTTGAGCGCAGCCTGGAAGATGGTAAAGAAACCTGTACCCATTAGCACGAGGCCAATGACCGGTGCGATCCAGTGGAACTTTGGGTCCGCAGTCCATCCCATGATAAATTGGCCTGCGGAAAACAAAACGGAGCCGAGCATCATGGGTGGCAAGCGGGCCTCAGGCACGGCTCTGTCACCTGCCGCGTGGTATACTTTGTTGTAGAGAATCTGGTTGTAAGCGTTGATGCTGCATCCGATGATTGCGCCGACCAAGATGCCCAGGAAAGGCAGTGTGGCGCTGACTGCAGGCCAGCCCCTTATTTCGCCAAAGATGATCGGGATACCGCCTAGTTGCATGTACAAGATTCCGTAACAGAAGCTCGCATACAGCGCGACGAGGAAGCAAATCGGCGTAGTGAGCAGCTGTATCGGGCGAATCAAGAACTTCTTCGAAAGCTCCTTGATACTAACATCCCATTCCTCGAACTTTGTATGCAACGCCCAGTTCCCCGTCTCATGTCGGAGGCGCCGCGCCTTATACACCAGCAACTTGGGCGGATAGCATTCATCGATGAACACGACATCGATAGCCAGCGTCGCCGCCTGAAGAATCCCCGTAAAATACTCTGTCCACCGCCACCCCAACGATGGATCCGCCACAAACGCTGCAGAAACAACAGGGCCCAGACACGGGCCCCCGACGACCGCCATTGCGTATCCGGCCATTGCCATGGCCCGCCACGCCGGACTATACAAGTCCCCCAGCACACCCCCCGTATTCGTCACTGGCGCACTCGCAAAAAACGCCCCAAAAAACCGTGTAATCATCAGCGTTTGGAAATCTTTTGCGGCCGCGCTACCAAAGCTGAAACACATGGCTACAAACATTGGTGTCAACACTGCGATCCGTCGTCCATACACTTCGGACAGCGGCGCCCAGAGCAAGGGACCGAGTCCGAATCCAAATAGGAAAATCGTAGTACCGAGCACAGCTACTTGGTTGCCTACGTGGAACTCTGCGGCTATTTGTCTGGTGCCTGCGGAGTACGCGGACGAAGCCCAGGTTGCGCTCATGGTGGTGAGACCGTACATGAGTGTTGTCAGGACTTTCTTTTTCGTGGGCCAGTTGATAGGACGGTAGGGATCATCTTCGCCGTCAAAGTCGACGAGGACATCTGCGGTTGTGGGTTGGTGTGCTAACGGGTGTGTAAATGGAGCTACATTTGGTCGAGTCCGGATTCGCGAGAGGACGGTGTCTCGGCGGGATATTGTGCAGTTTAGGGATTGGTTTAGCCCAGTGGTTGTTGCTGGTCCTGTTCGTAGTTGGCTGCGTCGACTACGTGAACGGGAAATGCTTTCTGCTAGTTCCCTACGTGTGGGTCGGTGTCCGTCGTTGTGGGGGTCGTAGATGTCCGATTCGGTGTCGGTGGATATGGTTGACATTGTTGATGCACTTCTTCGTCTTGATCTAAATTTTCTTCCACTCTCGAGGTCCATGCTTGCGCTGGATAGTGATGACGCAGTTTCGTCTCGGGTTTTTTCTCTTTCAGGATCCATGGTATCAATCGTGTTATGTTACGGCGACCGCTGAAGATGAGAATTCTATGTCTCTAATTCTTCTCAATTGGTCTTGTTATAAACAGCGATGGGTGAATAATCGAGCACCCAGCCCACAATTTATCATCCGTGACCAACGTTCTCGCCATCAATAGACATAGATATCTCGGGTAAGTGTGACGTCAATTCCGCTTGCTAATCGTTTGGTCTAGCCTGAGCTGGTATAGTATCTCCATGACCATTCGCGTCGTCGTTGTTATTTCCGTAAGACTCGGAAAAATCCCCGGGATATGTAACGCATAGAAGTGCTCGTACGAATGTGAAGATGAGTAGAGATGCTGACAGAGACGCCAAAGGGGATTTCTATGCAACGGAAAAGCAGTCTTGCGGAAAAGTAGTTCTTATGGGAAGGCAATCCTTACGGAAAAGTAGTCGCTAGAGGGCAAATATTGACGACAAGAATACCGCATACTTCACTTCAAAGCACTACTCCAGCCAAAATAAGATATGTGTATTGAAAATAACAGATCCAAACACCCCTCAGCAGAAAAAGTAATACAAGTCCGTGCTGGCAGGGTTCGCGCCACAACACCAAAATGACGTAACCTCGATAGTTCCAAACATATTTGCAGCTGTGTATCTCAATAAGAACACGACATCCTCAAATGATCTTTTAGAAAAATGACTTCTCCATCTTCAGAGAAGCGACCCCTGCATTCGCGTCTTGATACTCCGACACGTGCTCGATTCTTTGAAGCTATCGATCGGCGCGGTGATAGGACTAAGCAAGACATCTACAGTGATTTCAACATCCTAAAAGCCACCGCCTTTCGACTCCTCCAGCAGCGCAATCAATACGGGAACCTAGCTGACCGCTGCTCAAAACTTCGTCAATACAAAAAAGAACACAGGGTCATTGACTTAGGCCGTCCGTGAAAGCATCCAGAGAAGACTACACAGCAAAAACGCAATGCTACACAACAGATTACTCGAACGAAAAGATTACCACAAGTAGAACACCAGATTTCACATTCCAGTAGTACTATTGAATCATACAACGTCTTACTCCATACCCCTACTACTACTCACAACCCCTCCCCATCTCCAACCCACCTACCAAGCCCCCGGCGAACTCGCCACAATCTGCGCCGCAACCTCGCAATCCTCACCCTGCGGCACCACCACCCCATACCCCACATTCTGCGCACACGCCGTAAACCCATACACACCGCCATAAAACCCACTCCCATCGGGACTCGCCTTCTGCAGCACCGCCGTCAACGGATCCACACTCGCCGACGGGCCTAGCGTCACATTGCCCGTCCTAAACGTCGGCACCGCCGTAGCATTCGTAAAGTAAAACGTACTCCTCTGGCACTTTGGGTTTATCAAACTCGCCGTATTCGCCAGGATCCAGGGCTGATTGATGATGCGTTTCCACTGGGCGAGTGTGTACCGCGGCGATGCTTGGTTGGCCTCGTTTACGAATTTCAGGTCAATGGCTTCGGAGTAGAGGCCGGGGCCGCTGGCGGGGTTGGGTGCTTGTGCCCATTTGGAGTTTATGCCAAGGGAGCCGTCTGAGTAGGATTGGAAGGGGGAGGAGAGGGGGATGAAGGCGCCGATGCGGAAGAGGATGCCTGCTATGGTTGCTGTGGGGGTTCGAGTTAGCAGTTGGGAGAGAAGGGGAAGGGGAAGGGGAAGACGTACCGACGACAGAGGGAATGATACCGGCGACGTAGGCTTGGGTTACGTCGTCGACGCCTGCAATGTAGTTTATGAGGGGCACGCTTAGGGGCGTTTGGGAAGACCCGATTCCGACGTATGGAATTAGGGAGCTGGCGAACATGAGGCCGGTGGCGATTTGGAAGTTGTCTTGTCGGATGTCGTTGGTCATGCCGGCTGAGGCGACAACTGGGTGCATTCCAGCGGGGAAGTTGAGGGATGCTGGGACGGGCAAGAGGTTTAGGCCGCCGAGGTTGAAAAGGGCGGGGAATGCTTGTTGGAGGGCTTTTTTGACTTCTTCCTTGGGGACGGGGACGAGGAACCAGTCTGAGAGAGTGTTTGTGTTAGATTTGCTGTTCTTTAATGGGAACGTGGAGAGTATGTACTATTGGTGAACGACTGCGTCCGATCCTGTAGATTGTAAATAGCGACTTCATTCGGACATATGGCGCTCTGTCCCGCAACGAGACTCGCAGCCGCGAGCAAGATCTGAAGAAATCGTGCCATCGTCTCTACTCGCTTCTCGTTTTTTTGGATCTGAGATGCCAATTCCAAAATGCGCGTCGCACTCCCTTCCCTCCCCCCCTTTAATATACCTCAAGCCTACACCACAGCGCCACCTTGCCCATCTCCATCTCAGCCCAGCCATTAGCAAATCATCATGTGCAAGTCCGTGATCCACCACTGACCGAACCATCTTAATCCAAAATAGTCAATCGATCGCGTCGGGCGCGGGCCCTCCCGAGCTTCTCCGTAGAACGATCTACATCACCAATATCGATTGTGGCGCTCACCCACACGGCCAGTCCCCCCCCCTTACTTTGGAAACCTCCCCCCGCAGCTCCATCATCGATCCTGTGACTATCGAATAGTAGCGCTTTTCTCCTCGTTGATTCAGGTACGAGATCCGATCGTTGCTAGAGCAAGGGACGTATTTTTTTTAGGGGGGGGGGGCAGCTTTGTTTTCCACCACGACTGTCGTGTCGCTTGTACGACTTACAGGCTGAGTCGAACACCCCTTACGATTCACTGTTACGCATTTACTTTGCTCAACGCCACATATTGTACCGGACTGTATTGTCTTGGCACCTGGGTAGTTTCTCCACATGATTGTGTCCAGTTACTTACTACTAGTCCGATTGGACGCCACGGGGATCTCGCAGAAACATCCTTTGTATAACTCGGCGTGTCGTGTGCTGTGCGCCAATCTGCGGAACGGAGGGAGGCGTCTGGATTTTAGATTAGACTAGACCTAAATTGCACGATGAACTATTACGAACGGTGAATGTTAAGAAAAAGTGGCTTTTTTTGCGCATCACAAGCGCATGTATTTATTTATTTATTTTGGGCTTCTTTCCGCGTGGTTTCGAACTATCCTTTTACGAGGTTGGGAGTACGGTTTGTGGGTGTTCGTGCAATGTGGATGCTGGGAGGCTGTTTGTGAAGTTAGGTGTCCAGAGTATTGAGGTCACATTGTAGCTGTACAACTATAAATCTTTTTGGGGGGTTGGCTAATAATAGGTCAGGGTCACCGGTATTGGCATATGGGCGATAAGGAAATATGGGGCTTGGGAGAGCTGCGTTGGGTAATCGGTGAGGCTGGTATCTCTGGTGTAAGGTGTCTGGGGCAAAGGTGGGTGAGATGATGCAATGAGATTAACGTGCTGCGTTGAAGGCATGAAGCAGAGTGAGGATTGTTGGTGTGAGTTTCTGTTTGCGAGCATGTGTATTATCTAATTGGCTAGAGAGGAATACTTATGATGAGCAAAAGTATTGAATTAGAATATAAATAAGAGAAATGTGTCTATGTTACGTGAAATGCTTGGTTTGTACAGTGAAGACGTCAAACCGTAGGTGGGTGGTTGCCTTGGAAATGTGTCCAGCGAAAGACTTATTGACGATTGATACACAGTGGGTCTGGTAGGAGAGGATGCATCCGTAGTTCCTGTCATTGATTTTGTACTCACTGCTTCTGATACGCTTTTCGCACTAGGGGATTTTTGCTGTTAACATGCGCACCAGTCTGCCATTATAATGCCTATGGCGCATTTTTTCCTTGAGCGAACTCGAACATGTAAAAAGAAGGGTAGCGAGATGTTGTTGGTTCATGGAAGCATGGCTAGAAGTACCAAAATGAAACAACGAGTAGGATGGATGATGAAAGAGCAAAAAATAACATACAAGCCCGACGTGGGGGTCGAACCCACAACCTTGAGATGTACTGAGTAATCGTGTCTGTTAGACCGTGAAAGACTAAGAGTCTCACGCTCTACCGATTGAGCTAGCCGGGCTATTGCTGTTTTCGATGGGGAAAAAATCAGAGATAGACTGGATATGTAGCGACGCAATGTGTGAAAGCGCATGCATAGTCAAAAAAGAAACCATGTGCGCTGTCAAGAGCAAGTATGCAGGGTACGGTGGGGTGGAGGAAAATTCTGGCCACGGGACGCGAAGATTGGCGCTAGCGGATGGCGAACCATGGGAGGGTTCGGCAGATTGTCATTGTAGGCGAGAGAGATGCCAAGCCAAGATGGAGATGAGATGTATCTGTGCATGTAACAAGTAGGACCGTCATGTAGGTTGCAGTAATAGTGAAGAGTTGCATAGCAGGAATAATACGCAGGTCCAGGCAGTGCTGAGGCTAAGTATGTACTTGGGTGGGCGTAGGTCAGGCGCGGTGAGGGCAAGCAAGTGAGATGTGGTCTCATGGGCCAATAGTGAATGCGTCTCTGGCGAGGTACGTACCGCTACCTATTTTAAGAGTCGCCAGCGCCACTAGGGTACCGTACCGTTACGAGATGGCGGACTGGACCAGCTCAACTTGGCAACACAGGCCCTGGTATAACAGTCTGTCAGTACACATGTCTCGAGTGCCAGCTTTGACGATACCCAAATCGAGGCTTGACATTGCTGCGATACGGCGCGCTCGGGTCGTGGTTTTCGGCATGTCCACGAGGCCGCAGCACAGTGCATACGTGAGTTAAATTGGGATGCGCCCGCAGTGGACGAGGACGCAGGGCAGAGGGCGCAGCGACGAAGTTTATACTGGATTGGTTTCAATACCCATGGCGGGCCAACGTGCTTGGTGTCTCAAAGTCGGGTCATGGCCCTGCATTCCACGACGACAGACCCCGTACATATATTTATGTACATACATGCATGTTGGAGGATGACTAGCATTTGATTGACGACGACGACGGGGAGGACAGTGTGTACTCTAGAATCGAATAAGTAGGGATAGAGAGCTTGCTTGGCGCAACGTCAGTGTGCTCCACCTAATGTCTTTCCCAACGGCGGCGCCGCGTAATGGCCCTGGACAGGAGCAGGACGTCGAGGAGAAGACAGTCTCACACGTCCAGGTCGACTCGGCGCAATTTGGAGACTTGGTCGAGGGGGGGCGAGCAGTGTGTCATTCGCTCGAGGGTGGATACAGACATGTCGACACCAGGGGCGCGGCTGCAGCAGCTTGGCCAGAGTAGCAGGGAAGCAGTCGTATGTACGTACACTCTAGGCACTGCCTCGCTCCTCGCTCCTCGCTGCTCGCTGCTCGCTCAGCACTCGGGGCCCGTGCCTACACATCTTTCGACGACGACACTCCTCGCACCCAGCCCACAGTCAGGCCAGACTCCTGCACACTGAACCCGTCATCCTGCTGCTGCTGCACTCCATAGCCCGCTGCCAGCTCCCTCTGTTGCGCGTCGCATCTGCCTTGCCATACCCGCCCTCTCGCTCACACACGCATTCTCTCGCACACACACTCCTGATACACGAACCGCCGGTCAACGCGGAGGTGCGACTACCACTGTACTATTTTCAGCGCCCACCTCTCCGCCCGTGGCCGCAATCACCACTCCCCCCCACGCACCCACCCACACACTCCTCTCCCCACGACACGGCGACAGACTGCAGCGGCTCTTCGATGCATTAGCAGAGCAAACGCGCTGAGCGGATCCAGGACGCCCAAGACGACAGACGGCCGCCATGGCCAGCAGGCCGCCAGGTGGACCGCCTCATAGCGACAACCTCATTGACTTTGACGACCACCAGCCCGCATACAATTCGGGCGCACCGCCCCCAACCGGCGACCACAACCTCCTGCACCGCTACGACATTGACGCCTCAGACGCCCCGCCACAGGGCCGGCCCTCGGTCTCGTATGATGACTTTGTCGGCGGTGGCAGGTCTACCCAGGGTCTGCCGGGCGGGCCAGGCGCTCCTCCCGCAGGCTCACCCTACGTGGGCGGAGGAAGCAACCCCAGGGCCTACTCGCAGACCTCGGACCTGAACAACTACCAGCGCTACTCCGACGCCGACATCCCCCACGACGACGATGCCTCGGCACAGGGCTACTACGCCGCCGGGGGCGCATACGACCAGGCCTCGCCAGGCGTCACCCGCGGCGGCTCCAAGAATGCCCACAACAGGAACAGCATCCTCAGCCTCGGCGGCGGCCTGACGGGGCGTGTCAAGAACATGCTGGGCCGCGGCTCAGAGTACTCGGAGATGGACATGCCCTTGACCGAGAACGCCGCCCACCCACAGCAGCCCAGCGCAAACGAGCCCGCCAGCGCCTACGACGACGGTTCATCGTCCAAGAAGAAGAAAAAAGGCCCCAGCAACTTCAAGTTTGGCTTTGGCGGAGGCGCACCAGACCCCTCGACCCTAGGTCCCCGCATCATCCACCTCAACAACCCGCCCGCAAACTCGGCCAACAAGTATGTCGACAACCACATCTCGACGTCCAAGTACAACATTGTCACTTTCCTCCCCAAGTTTTTGTACGAGCAGTTTTCCAAATACGCCAATCTCTTCTTCTTATTTACCGCCATCCTCCAGCAAATTCCCGGCATCTCGCCCACCTCGCGATACACCACAATTGTCCCGCTCTGCATTGTTTTATTCGTATCCGCCGTCAAGGAATACATTGAAGACTACCGGCGGAAACAGTCGGATTCGGAACTCAACAACTCAAAGGCTCAGGTCCTCAAGGGTTCTACTTTTGTAGACACCAAGTGGGTCAATGTCGCCGTGGGAGACATTGTGCGCGTTGAATCCGAGCAGCCCTTCCCCACCGATCTCGTCCTCCTCGCCTCTTCCGAGCCCGAGGGTCTTTGCTACATCGAAACCGCCAACTTGGACGGCGAGACGAACCTCAAGATCAAGCAGGCTATTCCCGAGACTGCCGACTTTGTCAGTCCGGCGGAACTCGCAAGACTAGGCGGCAGAATCCGATCCGAGCAACCCAACAGCAGTCTCTACACTTATGAAGCCACCTTGACCATTGCCGCAGGCGGAGGAGAGAAGGAACTACCTTTGGCACCCGATCAGCTACTGCTTCGTGGCGCTACGCTGCGAAATACACCCTGGATCCATGGTGTGGTCGTCTTTACCGGACATGAAACGAAGCTCATGAGGAACGCTACGGCCACCCCTATCAAGACGACAGCCGTAGAGAGAATGGTCAACAAGCAAATTCTCATGCTGGTGATCATCCTCATCTGTCTCAGCATCATTAGTTCCATTGGCGATGTCATCATACAATCTACTCGGGGAGGTAACCTCACCTACCTCTATCTCCCTGGTTTCAACGGTGCCAAGCAATTCTTCCGCGACCTACTGACCTACTGGGTCCTGTACTCCAACCTGGTACCCATCTCGCTCTTCGTAACAATCGAAATCGTAAAGTATTACACTGGAAGTCTGATCGACTCTGACCTCGACATCTACTATGAACCAACCGACACACCCGCCAAATGCCGAACTTCGTCCCTCGTCGAGGAACTCGGCCAGATCGAGTACATCTTTTCTGACAAGACAGGTACCTTGACATGTAACATGATGGAGTTTAAGCAGTCTACCATTGCCGGTATCCAGTATGCCGACGAGATTCCCGAAGACCGACGTGCGACGATTGAAGACGGGGTTGAGGTTGGAATTCACGACTTTAAGCAGCTCGAGCATAACCGACAATCGCATCGCAACAAGCACATAATCGACCAGTTCCTTACTCTTCTCGCGACATGTCATACCGTTATTCCCGAAATGAAGGGAGAAAAAGGCGCCATCAAGTACCAAGCTGCCTCTCCGGATGAGGGTGCTTTGGTCGAAGGCGCCGTGACTCTGGGTTACAGGTTCATTGCACGAAAACCGCGCGCTGTCATTATCGAGGTCGACGGCCGTCAACTGGAATACGAACTCTTGGCTGTCTGTGAATTCAACTCTACAAGAAAGAGAATGTCTACCATCTTCCGCACGCCCCAAGGCAAGATTGTATGCTTTACCAAGGGTGCTGATACTGTCATTTTGGAGAGACTTTCAAAGGACAACCCGTATGTAGAAGCGACCCTGACACATCTGGAAGAATACGCCTCCGAGGGTCTCCGCACCCTCTGTCTGGCCATGCGTGAGATTCCAGAGGACGAGTTCCAGGAATGGTGGTCGATTTTCAACACTGCGCAGACAACCGTCAGTGGCAACCGTGCCGAAGAGCTGGACAAGGCTGCCGAACTCATTGAACGCGACATGACTCTTCTGGGAGCAACTGCTATCGAGGACAAGCTGCAAGACGGTGTCCCAGACACTATTGCGACTCTGCAATCCGCCGGCATCAAGGTCTGGGTCCTGACTGGCGATCGCCAAGAGACTGCCATCAACATTGGTATGAGTTGCAAGCTGATTAGCGAGGACATGAGTCTTCTCATCATCAACGAGGAAAACAAGGAAGCCACACGAGACAACATCCGCAAAAAGTACCAAGCGATTACCAGCCAGAGTCAAGGCGGGGCTGAAATGGATGTCCTTGCTCTGGTCATTGACGGTAAATCACTTACGTACGCCCTTGAGCGCGATCTCGAAAAGGAATTCCTGGATCTCGCCGTCCGGTGCAAGGCTGTCATCTGTTGTCGTGTCTCTCCCCTCCAAAAGGCCCTTGTTGTCAAGCTCGTCAAGCGTCATCTCAAGTCGATTCTGTTGGCCATTGGTGATGGAGCCAATGACGTTTCCATGATCCAGGCTGCCCACGTTGGTGTTGGTATCAGTGGTGTCGAAGGTCTCCAGGCAGCTCGTAGCGCAGACATTGCCATTGGTCAATTCCGCTACCTACGCAAGCTCCTGCTCGTCCACGGTGCATGGAGTTACCAGCGTGTCAGCAAGGTCATTCTGTACTCTTTCTACAAGAACATTGCCATGTTCATGACACAGTTTTGGTACTCTTTCCAGAACGGCTTTTCCGGACAGATTATCTACGAGTCGTGGACCCTCACCTTTTACAACGTCTTCTTCACGGCAGCACCGCCTTTTGTGCTTGGTATTTTTGACCAGTTTGTGAGCGCGAGGTTGCTGGATCGATACCCACAACTCTACCGGCTTAGTCAGTCGGGTGTGTTCTTCAGGATGCATTCGTTCTGGTCCTGGGTCGGCAATGGCTTCTACCACTCGCTCATTCTCTATTTTGGCGCTCAGGCCTTCATCATCTGGGACTGGCCGCAGTGGGATGGCCGCAATGCAGGTCATTGGGTTTGGGGTACGGCAGCCTACACTGCTAATCTTGCAACTGTGCTACTTAAGGCTTCGCTCATCACCAACATCTGGACAAAGTACACTGTGCTGGCTATCCCAGGTTCGATGCTTCTCTGGTTCATCCTCATGCCCATCTACGCCATTGTAGCGCCCAAGGCCGGCATCTCGAACGAATATGTTGGTGTGATTGAGCGACTCTTCCCCGACCCGCGATTCTGGGCCATGCTGGTGGTACTACCGCCGCTTTGCTTGATCCGAGACTTTGCGTGGAAGTACGCAAAGAGGATGTACTTTCCGCAGAGCTACCACCACGTTCAGGAAATTCAAAAGTACAACATTCAGGATTATCGCCCACGGTACGTCGCTCTGGATCTGTGTAGTACAAACGACGAAAGGCTAATACGTGTGCAGAATGGAGCAGTTTCAAAAAGCCATCCGAAAGGTACGACAGGTACAGCGTATGCGCAAGCAGCGAGGGTATGCATTCTCGCAGACGGACGAGTCGCAGGCGAGGGTCCTACAAGCATACGATACGACACAACAGAGAGGAAGATATGGAGAGATGGCGAGTTCGCGGAAATAGGGTGGGTATTTGCAGCGAAAGGGGCACTTTGCTCTTTGGTGTTTGGTCTGGCGCATGACGGGCAAGGCGCGGAAGGAAAAAAAAACATGTACGACTGCGTCCCGAGTGGGCATGATGTGTTTAGTATGAATAGTGTATTGTTATCGATGGTGGCGTCGGCCAACCAAAGTTCACGTTTCTGTTGGTTGTGTCTGATGTTCGTGTGGGGTGAGCAGGTGCTATCTCTGCAATGTTATCTTGATGCCATGTCGACTGCAGGTTGAGCTGGACACCACGTGCACACGGAAAGTTGTTGTATCGGGCGCTTAATAAGGAACACGGTGTCCCGAAGGCCGTAAGGCGGAGTCTGCAGAGCTTGAGGCTTTAGTCGATTGGTACGTCAAGGCCGTGGTGCGAAACAATTATCCGGTGCCTCGTTACTAACAGGTATTTTATCCGCCTACCGCGCAGTGGCAGGGCCGCATTGTGGAGCAAGAGGGGCACATGCTACCCCACCACGCAAAACTCCCCTCGCTCTGATATGCTGCCGCGCCCGTTTTTTACCACCCATACCGGCCATGATACGCTGCTGTTTGAGCTTGACCAAGGCCCCTCGAGATGCCAGACTGTCGAGAGGAGCCGCTATTTATCCTGGCCGTTGTAGAATTTGCCGGGCACTTGGGAGAGAGAGAGAGAGAGCAAGAGACAGACGGCGAACCCGTCCAAAGTTACGCTTACACAAGACGACGTGTAGCTACCTGCCGCGCTGCTGAGTAGCCGTCATAAAGGCTACAGTGGTCCTGGCAGGGTTAAATGGCAAGCATACCGATGGCGAATGAGGACTCGACGAGGCAACGCAAAGGCATGGTTAACCCAGTCGTCCGGGTGAAGACGCAGGGTCATTTGGCCCAAACTAGCCTCTGACACGGCGTTATATAGACGGCAGGCTGTTTGTTGTGCCTGGGGGCAGAATGGTCTGAAGTTCCGTCTGCAAAATACACGTTTGATATCACGGAGCCATGATTGCTAGACCCATTTGCCGTGCCGGTAGTATTAATACCACGCGTTGCGCCGCTGCCTTTTCCACTGCTTCTACTCCTCGTCCCTTCACATCTCTTTCTTCTACTTCTTCTGCTTTGCTGTCGTCGTCGTCAATCAAGACTCGCTGCATTGCCCCTCGAGCGCATACCGTACCAGCTTTCAAGACTAGACTTGCCAATCGCAGCTTTTTCGCTACAATGGCTTCAAACGTCCCTTTCGTCACCCTCAACGATGGCAACAAGATGCCCCAGGTCGGCTTTGGCCTGTGGAAGGTCGACAATGCCACTTGTGCCGATACTGTTTACAATGCCATCAAGGCTGGCTACAGGCTGTTTGACGGCGCATGCGGTACGTAGACTCGTGTTGAGCACTTCATTTTTTCTCTGCTCTCTCTCTCTTCATCCTGTAACCCCACCATCTGGCAAATGGTCAGCAAAATCGGTGCCTGTTACCGCGAGACGCCCCGAATTACCGGTGGCTGCTGTACATGCTTGGCTCTGCACATCGGAATGTTAGCGTCGTCCATCGGAACGAAGCCCGAGCCTCCTCACGTGCTCATGCAGCCCATACTGACGACTCAATCTTGAACAGACTACGGCAACGAAGTCGAGTGCGGCCAGGGTGTTGCCCGCGCCATCAAGGAGGGCCTTGTAAAGCGTGAGGACCTCTTCATCGTCAGCAAGCTCTGGCAAACCTTCCACGACCGCGAGCAAGTCGAGCCCATCGTCCGCAAGCAACTTGCCGACTGGGGCGTCGACTACTTCGACCTCTACCTCATCCACTTCCCCGTCGCCCTCAAATACGTCGACCCCAAGGTCCGCTACCCACCTGGCTGGTACTACGATGGCGAGAGCAAGATCGAGCACAGCAACGCCAGCCTACAAAGCACATGGGAAGCCTTTGAGGACATCAAGAGCAAGGGCCTCGCAAAGAGCATTGGTGTAAGCAACTACAGCGGTGCCCTCCTCCTCGACCTCTTCACCTACGCCAAGGTCAAGCCCGCTACCCTTCAGATCGAACACCACCCTTACTACGTCCAACCCTACCTCATTGAGCTCGCCCGCCAGCACGACATCAAGGTCACCGCCTACTCGTCGTTCGGCCCCCAGAGCTTCCTCGAGTGCGACATGAAGGTCGCTGCCGACACCCCTCTTCTTTTCGACCACCCCGTCATCAAGAAGATCGCAGAGGCTCACGGCAAGACTCCCGCCCAGGTTCTTCTCCGCTGGTCCACCCAGCGCGGTCTCAGCGTTATCCCCAAGTCCAACTCGCCAAACCGCCTGGCGCAAAACTTGGATGTTACCAGCTTTGATCTCAAGGACAGTGAGATTGAGGAGATTTCGGGTCTGGACAAGAACCTCAAGTTCAACGCTCCTACCAACGTACGTTTTATCATCGCCTTGGGAATTTATGTGAACGGTATTGGCTAACATGTTTTATAGTACGGTATCCCTTGCTACGTCTTTGCATAGACGGCGATGGTCATCGATCTCTTTTTTTGCTATTTTTTATGGAACGTTTTTACGAATTTATTCGATGCGCCGACATCGAAGGATGATGGGTATGAATATGGATCAGGTAGGATATCAAGTATATATCAACACAAATAAAAACAAGTGCTCAATCAATTGATGCAATGTCACTTCCCCTGACTAACGACAACTATTGACGTGATATGAAAATAGTAGCAAGATCTACACTAAACACAGCTGGCCGTGTACTTCTTCCTCTTCTGCCTTTTCTTCTTTTTTTTTAATCAACGTCATCATCACATGTCCCACCCCCAACCGGCATCTGTTCGGCAAACTATACTAGCTGCAAGCAATAGCCGACTATTTTATATCGACACGTAACGAAAAAAAAGCCCAAAGCTTCGACCAATGACGCCACGACCGCTTCGTCTCCGAGGAAGATCGAAGCTAAGGCCATAGTAGCCGCAAACTTTACTTTAGGGCAATGGCATTTTGTCATTTCACCATAGTACCCTCATTGAAAAACTACGTGACGCCGGCTTCCCTTTTTGTGGGTGTGGTACTACGGTTACATCGCGAGAGCCACGCACTTGGTACAGTACGAATAACGTGAAACTCACGTGTTCGCACCCAGTAAATCACACACGCTTTTTCTCGGAGCAAAACCACGCCGCTTATTTCCGTCCACCCTCCCCCCGCTCGAGACCCTTTTTTCGATACACGTGTGAGCAGCGTTGCAAGCGATGATGATGCGAGGCAAGGGGATAAACTAACCAACCCCATCATCCACCATCAACTGTCCCAAAAAAAAGTTGTAGAAACTTTACCCTCCAGCAGTGGAGGGAACCCCAATTTCTCCGCTTTCCCATCCCAGTCCATCTACCTGACACACAAAGGAAAAATTATAATATCCAAATAATTCTACTAGACACAAAAAGTCGGGTATTTTGCTCTAATCCCAACACCCGATCATGCCCCCGCCCCTTCTCTCCCATATCCGACACCCGATCCCCCCTCCCCCCCGATCGCGTGACACAACCACACACACACCACACCTGCCTTCCACCCTTTTTTAGTCCGAACTCCCCCCCCTTCTCCCAAAAGAACCAGCAAAGCCCCAACACCCATTGCACATCGCTCAACCCCCCTCTCGTCCGTGTACCTCTGAGTAAAGGAAAAGTGCAAAAAAAAAATGCTGATCAAGCTTAATAAATAAATCCACCTTGCTAAAACGTGCAGAATGGCGATGCACGTAGTATGGTGTAGGTTCTGGTTTGCCCATGTCCCCCCACACCACCACCCCCGGATGCGCGGCTGCGTGCAATGCCGAGTGAGCAGTGTGTTTGAACAAGGGGTTTTTTTTTCTCTTTAGTATGGGCGTCAAGGCCAGGTTAGAGTATGTATGATACTATGCTTCTCATGTAGAAATATATATATATTTCTTAAATCCCATACCATGTTAATTGTAGTAAGTACTAGTAGTGAGTTTTAATTTTTTTTTTATTTCTTACGACTTGCCCAGGACTCCCCCCAAAAATGGGGAGTATGGAGAGAGAAAAAAAATGGTGACATTGCAGTTTCTCTCTCTCTCTCTCTCTCTCTTTTATCAAACACACACACACACACACACACAAACTTTCTAGTTTATACCCGTACTACAAAATATGAAAGGCGCGGACAGCGGATAGCGGACAGCGGACAATGATGGGCGGGGCTGGCGGGCGTGTGCGCACGTCCATCCGCGCATCGCCGAAAAAGCTTGGTCACAGTCAGGTTTAGGAAAGAGGTAGAGACGATGGACCATTGAAAGAGCTAAGCCACCTCGGCGCGATCGAGCGAGCGAGAGAGAGAGAGAGAGAGAGAGAGAAAGAGAGTCAGGGTTAAACAACGAATAAAACTCGTGACGTCGGTGTCTTGTTCTTAGTGTAATTTACTAGTTTACCCTTTAGCCTCATCTCTTGCCCTTTCTCCCATCTTTGCCTCCTCTTACGCTTCGGACAACCGTATGTTATCTGATTGTTGTTGTCTTCATACTACCATTTATCATACCACTACGAAACCTCTCTATCAAACCTCTCTCGCTCCATCTTCTCTAAGAAAGAGGGGACATAAAAAGAAAAACAAGGCATAGCACATTACTCAGCCTTATATCCGAAAATCAAACATATACCCCGGATTACTTACATATCTCACTCTCCGGCCCCCTCGCTCGTCCGCCGCTTCGATCCGTACTTTCTTTCCTTTTTCCTCCTTGCCGCTTTCAACTGGGCTGAATCGACTGGGGCGAACGAGGGAAAAAAAAAGCGTGAGCAACAAAACTGACGTCGACAAAACTGGTCTTTGCGCGCCTTGTGGGTTCCCTTGCTCGGGTGGACGTAAGAGTGTGTCTGTGTGTCTTTGCTTTTCTTTTTTGCCCGATTATAAACTTTGTTGAACATACGCGACCGTTTTCTTCGCGCGGACTTGGGTTTCTCGATCTCTCTCTCTCTTGTCCTTGTTTTCTTTCCTCCCTCTCACGTCGTTTGTCGCACCGCATCGCATTGCAAAGCGTCGTCGTCGCCTCGGCAAAGGAAAGCGTTGCGACGCTGGAGGCAAAAGCTGGACTTGAGAACTCAACAACACACTTCCATTTTGATAATGGCATCATCATCCAGCGAGCAGAGCCAAATGAGGTATGTTTGTTGTTTGCAATCCTCTGCCCTGGCGCAAATCTGACATGACATGTCCACAGGTTCTTAGCCATCGTCCTCCCGGTGCTCACCTTTTGCGCACATGGCCTCCTCGCCATGTCCTTTGCGCTGCCCGGCTCGGACCTCGACGGCGCATACTTTCCCATCACCTACAACCTGCTTGCTTGCGGCGCAAGCATTCTCGGCTTGGTTGGCGCACTACGGGTAAGTCAGCAGCTTGTTTTCCTTGCCCCGCGATTCGTGCGACGGACTCTCGGATCGTCCGGAACTACTGCGAGTCTTGGTTGTCATGACGCATGGGTGCTTACAATGCGATAACAACACAGGCACTACCAAGTCTGGTGTCAGCTTACACCCTGCTGCACACAATGACTCTGTCATTTCTCACAATCGCAATCGTCAATCTGGTGCTGCCCTGGGACTTCCGAATACTAAATCCGGTAACTCCGAGCTATACGGTCGACGAATCAGCCATATGCCGCGACATCGATGCCGGCTTTGGGTGGGACACCGAGTGGCTGGAACAGTGCACTAGCAGTCTTAGCACCGTCAAGTTTTGGTGTGCGGGCTTTAGTATGGTCTTGATTTTTGCGCAGTGGTGGGCTCTGATGAGTGTGCGGACGTGGGGGCAAGAGCAGCGAGCCCGGTCGCAGAATACTCTAGGCGATGTGGAAAAGGCCGGCCTGGGGACCGACGAGAAGACAACAATTTATGACGAAAAGACTGGATTCTAAACGATATTAAATGAATTAAAGAGTACAAACGCAGATAGCGTGACATGATGTAGTTCGAGGGAGCTCTGTCGACATAAGTGACCTGGCTGATGTTACGCGAATCGGATTGGTAGATTGGTTTCTGAAATCACGTGAAAGTCATCTAGAAAGGTCAACTTGTTTAAGGGGCTTCAACTTACACATGGTTAGTATAAAAGTGAAAAGCTTACCATCGTCATCACCTAAATAAGTTTCCCAGACCCATAGCTGACCGGCGTCACCACCAGTCAGATCTGAAGCTTCTTTCCAGAAGAGGAACCTCTGACACTCCTTGCTGTTGTTCAGATAGCGAGTATAGGTCCGGACTGCCCAGAGCCCACAACTATCGCAGGTGCAGCTGCACTTTGCCCAACCCATGATGTTTCCACCATGCATACACATCTCGTCCATGCAACTAGTCCATTCGTTTCTGCCACGGTGATCGGTGTGGATGACTCTGGCAAGTCTACTCACGTGCCAGGAGCAGACGTTGATGGTAGTTGGACTACGACATGGGGCGTAGTGGTGAGCTTCATGGGAATGCATGCTGGGCTGGTCGATGAGCTGAACATGGCGATCTGATAGCCGGTATTGCAGCATCGACAGTGCTCTTGATCGGGATTTGGTGGTGACGGGTTCAGGTAGCCGTGTATTGCACGTCGTGCACAGGGTGAAAGGATATTCTGCCAACGGCGTGGGTCTAGGCGGATCATACTGTTAAGCCGTGGTGCTGTGAGCTTGAGTGCCAGCAAAGCGTCCAGTGGCAGCAGATCGCAAATATCTAGAATGAGCTCCGTGGGCAGGTTATGGAAGGATGTGGCATCCGAAGACATGGTGATGCGCATATGCGGACGTGATGGAGGGTCTGAGTAGGTTTATTGTGTCTCTTTGACAAAGAAAAGGCATGGAAATCAGGAGGAGCATTTTGCTGAGCGAGATCAAAGAGGTCGTCCTCCGGGCCATTGCCTCTGTTCCATTCATGTGCGCCAGTGACGTCTGCGAGATTGTGAAAGGGAATCTGACAGCAAATCGAGCTGTTGTGCCAAAGGCTGGCGTGGTAAGGCCTTGATTGTTCCATTGCTTTGCTTGATGTGGCCTTGATCCATTTGGCGCACGGGCGGTGAGGTTGCACGAGACAAGGCGTGACGGCTTGAGGGGGCTATGTATACGGGCGTTTGGTAAGAGAGGAAGGGAGTGTGACTGGTGTCATGGGTGACGGTTGAGACAAACGGGTTGTGGCAAGCGCGTGGGGCATGACGTTGGAGAGGGGCAGCGGCGACCCAAAAGCAAACATTTGGCCAAGACGACGATGATGTGGAAGGAGCGATGGCGGTGATGGGCGAGAGGGCAGTCACGACTGTGATAAAGTAGCAAAGGGAAGATAGACTTTGGAGAGGAGGAGAGGCGGGACAGGGGCAGAAGGAAGCATGCATGGTGAAGCACGGATTCCCGTGGCCCAAACGTGTGTTGCTAGATTCGAGAATACTTCTTAGTGGTGGTAGCGTAACGGCAGGGCAGGTAGGCGAGCTACAAAAGCTGGGGTAGGCGGCAGCGCATATCTAGCCGAACAAAGCAAAAATGCTTCGTATTGCGGCATTTGTGTGTAGTGGACATGGAGTGTTGTGTACTGTGGATGTGCCCAATACATATGAAGAGTAATAATCCGTGTGTGTACTATTCAAGCACACAGTGGAGCGCATCCACACAGCCAAATTGCCGGCACCATGTTCCGACAATGGTCGCTCATCGCATGCCGACGTCCTGTTCTCACATGCAGAAGTGGGCGTGCAGTGCATGGCGAAGCGCTCTAAGCGCGGACTGGAAGCCCTTTGCGGCAACAGGGCCGGCGGCAGCAGGGCAGCTGGGCAGCCGGGCAGCCATGTCGTGATGGGCCATGGCCATGGACGATGGGTGGACGACGGGCGGGCGGCGGGCTCGATGGGTGGGAGTGCAGAGCAGTCAGCCACAAGTTGATATTTTCGCATTCGCCTGTCGTTGCCGGGTGCTTATTGGAGAGCCTGGCACGCTGCTCATCCCATGCCCCGCATCGTGCAGCTCAAGCCCGTTCGTTCGCAGTCGGCCACATAGATAGATGGCGATGGGGTCAGATGCATGGCCCGACACGGCACCCGCTCATCCTCGCCATGGCCCTCGTCGGGCTTCTGCCACACTCGGGGCACTCGGTGCTTGTCGACATTCCAGAGCGTCAGCAAAACAGGCATGTGCTGGTGGGCGGGCGGGCAGCTCCGTCGTCTGATGATGGACCGAACAACGGTTCGCTAGGCGGGCTGCCAGCCTAAGCCAGTATGGATGTAGTAGTAGTAGTAGTAGTAGTGGTGGTGGTAGTAGCCAAGTAGGTACTAAGCATGTACATGTACCTCCGGCCCATCCATCCATACACACACTGTACATACTCCACTACATATGTATGCATGTCCCGCAGCAGCCCGCCATGGACGTCATGCACTCATGCGTCCGCCCACGCCGTCGCTGGACGAGAGAGAGCCCCGACAGGCTGCATCGAGGCCGCCGCTGGGCCAAGTGCAAGTGCAAAGGCGGCATGGGATGGCATGCCTCGACGACGGCCTGCTAACTGACTGCAGGTGCTGAGGCCCGTGTCTCGAGGCCGAGATGAATAAAGTGGATAGCTCTTCGCTCGGCCTGCTTAGCGCGAGTAGTCGAGCGTCCCCAGCATCCCCTTTCGACATAATCCTCACCCAGGCCCGCGATATCTCCCGAGTCCCTCCTGACCCCTACCCACCCGCTCCCAGCTGTCCTTCACTCGCTGACTTCACCTTGCCCTCAGCTTAGTGGACAGCTGTCGCTCCTTTTGTCGCCTTCACCGTGAGTATGAGAGCCCACGACCCCTAGTCTCCCCACTAGGGCCTCCCCCTCAGTCTCCAAAACATGTGCCCTCTCCACCAAAATTTTCCGTTGCCCGCCTCGACTTGATTTCCCGCCCCCCCCTCGTGTCGCCCCAAACCCGACGACGCCAGTCCCGCCATCTTCTCCTCCCGAGTCGACGCCAATTGCTTCCTGTGCCTGTTTTTTCTGCTACAAGCACACCTGCTCACCTGCTCCCTCACAGATCTCCTAGCCACTCCACCGGCTCGGCGCTGCTACTACTACTATCTCGAATCTTCCCTATCTGGCCACGATTATTCCCGCAACCACCATGTCCTACTACAACGACGCGTCGTGGAACGCACCAGCTCCTGGTCGACAGCCCTCGTGGGAGCAACCTCCCCCGCCCTCGCGATCAGGTACTACACCAATGCGCCCCGCCCGTCACAGTGCACCCATTCACCCAGATGTAGGCACTAGCTCCACCGTCAACAGCGAAGTCGCCAATGCCTACGCTTCTCAGTTCGAGGGTACGTTGCAAGTCCCATGTCTTGCGCCAGTGTCGTCTGTCAGTGCCATGTTTGGCGCCCAATGCAACAATCATGGCACTGACAAGGCCTTTGGTACACACTTGTAGTACGGTTACACTGACACCATCACAGAGATCGACCGTGCCATTGAGAACCTCGCTAAAAGCGGCAAGCCCTTTGGTCCTGGCTTCCCTCCCACGCCCATGGGCGCTGCCCGCCGTGAGTCCATGCCCATGATGGGAGGCGGTCCTCGTCCATACCCAGACTATGGTACGCATTCCCACATACAAATGTACACACACACCACATCACGCACGCATACTAACACACCACACCACAGACCAGCAGCGCATGGGCGGTCCTCAGCGCCACCACTCAGTCAGCGAGTACGACGGTTCCCGCTCCCACTCGGCTTCCAATGTACAGGGCTTCTACCAGAACCAGCGCTATGCGCCCAGACCCAACGATGCGGACCAGATGGCACAGGCGAAGCGACGGATGGCGGCCCAGCGAGAGCGTGAGCTGCGCAACTATCACCAGGAGCAGCAATATCACAGAAGTAAGGACTCGGAATCTGGGCAACAATAGAAGCAGGACAGACAGTTGACTTAGGGTAATACAGACGTTTCGGGCTCAGGCTCCAAGTCGGACCGCTCCATGAGCCCCAATGCCATGAATGAAGACGAGCGCCGCGAACTCATCGCCCGCCAGCACCGTGCTTTGTATGGCGAGACCTCCACTCTGTACAACAACAACCCAACCTCGAGCCAGGACGTTCGCGTTCAGACTTCGAGTGCCGGACGCGGGCCGTCTCCCCTCGCTTTTGACCCTTTCGGTATGCAGGCCCAGAACGCTGCGGGCGAGGGCTCCGTTCAGATGCCGCCCCGGGACAAGGATGCGGCCAGTAGCGCCCAGGACGCCCGTGCCAACAGCACCTCGTCCCCCTCGACTACACAGGCCCCCGCATTCAATCTGTTCGATGCCCAGCAGGCCAACCGTACCTCCAACTCGTCGCCTGGCGGCTCACCACCCGTGCCAGGACAAAAGGCCAACGGTTCCGGCGTCGCCCCCATCGGCACCCGTCCCCAGAACCAGAACCTTCAGCAGCCTGCCGGTGCTGCCATGGGCAAGCGTACAAACTCGCCTCTGCCGTCGCCTCTGGGCTACAACTCGTACAATGCTAGCGAGCAGAACAACGCAGCTGCTACAACATCTGCTTCTATGAATCCCTCTTCGACTGTTACGGACAAGGGAGTTGGTATTTGGAACAATGGCCCCTGGAGCAACACGCCCACGCAGGGCGTGCAGGCATCGGTCTGGGGCTAGAAAATGGAGTTTTGTTTAGGGAGATACAATGCACATCCGGAGTTACTGCATTTCAGGTGTCTCAGGCATACCAAGTCGGTCTTTGAAGTACTAGCTTGGGCGGAGCAGGTCAATGGGAAGGTCGGCGAATATTTCGTGTGGGTTCGAGGTGCACCATGCGCATGCCTCTGCACTTGTTGGGGTCTTGCTGGAGATGATATACCTTTTCACGAGTGGGTACAGGTGTTTGTTGCCAGGGTTCACGGATTGGCATTGGTTCATGGGGGACTTGCGGGAGTTTTGTCAAAGGTTATCTTGCTGTTATCGGTTGCTAGCTTTTCGGATCGGGTCAAGAGCCTCTACACCAACGAGCGACAGCCACGACGCTGCCTCGATCATCTTGGGAGGCTATGAGGGCTGGTACATTTAACGGAACTGCGTAATGGGAAAAAAGTGGTTTGGGAAACGACTTGTTTTTTTTTTCTGTGAGCTATAATACATTAGATTTGGCTCTGGAAGTTGCTATTTCCAAGATACAGCCACCGGTCCGGGCAAATGGCTGTAACGGGATATGAGGAAGCGAACACAACACGTGACCCTTGCTAGCGTAGTCGCAAGCGAGATCAGGGTTAGCGCGCCGCGGCAACCCCAGCTCCAGAATCGTGGCCTTTGGGTTCTGTTTGAGTGACTATCGCCTATAGCCTCCCACGACCTTTCCATCACCCACTTTCTGTCCATCTCGCACCGGTTGCCGTTCAAATCGCCCATCATGGTCAGTCACCCCCCTCGCGAGCGCACCCGAAGCCATTGGACAATGGAGAAGCAGCACATTGCTTGCAGTACAGGAGCATGCGACAGGCGTAGACGATAAGGTGTTGCAAGTGAGGGTTGAAAGGGCAATTGTGCTATTTTACCTTTCAGCAACCTACGCCTGCTTCTTCGCTCTCCTGGAAATGCAAGCATTGCCTTCTACAAGACGTTCACATGCCGACCAACCAGCCAAACCTCAGCATACCCCAACATGTTCACTAACTGGAATAACAGTCTGCCCCCCGCGCCACCTCACCGAACGCGGCCTCTTCAGGCTCAACAACCGCACGCCCTGCGTCGCCAAAGCCCCCAGGTGGTCCTGCGACCGTCATGCGAAGGAAGGCAGCCGCCGACCGTGCTGAGAAGACCGCCAACCTGCGACCGAGCAGCACAAGGGCTGCTGGTGCCGGCGGCAGCTCAAGCACCATGCTGAGTAAGTACCCACTTGACTGGCCGCTGGACGCGAAGAAACGACATTGGACAATACTTCAATCTCAACTTCACGTCTACAGTGGGAGATGCTGGACCAAGAGGAAACGTCACTCTTCAACTCTGCTAACGTACTTGTTCAGGGCTGTACACCGATGAGTCCCCCGGGCTGAAGGTCGACCCTGTTGTCGTCATGACACTGTCCGTTGTCTTCATCTTCAGCGTTGTCGCTCTCCACGGTATGCAATCTCACATTCATATGCCTTTGTAGAGTCCACGTCTGATCATCAGCAGTTATCGCCAAGGTTATGCGCCGATTCTCCGCATAAGCAAGCGTATTGAATTACTACTTCTCTTACCCTTTACAAATTTTCCGTTCCAGGTGGCCGCTGCCCAGTGGTAACCTTTGCAAGATTCCCCTCGATGTGCGGTTAGCCGTGTCCGATTCTCCATGACTGTGTTTGGACAAGAGGCGGAGCTATAGGGCGCATGAAACAATTGGAAAAGCACTATTTCTCATGATATCACTGCGACTACTAGGGGCGAGCACGATGGTGGGGAGCACGGGTAATCAGGAAACTGCTCGTTTTGCTTGGTGTATAATAGGTTTTCGCATAGGAATGAGGAGTTTTGTTTGCTATTTGTGTTTCCCCCTTTTGAGTGACTTGTATGAGTAACGGCAGCAGGCGACTTGCATCTCAAAATATGCCACTGATCGGATTTTGTCTATTTACGAAGGAAATATGTACATCGTCCATTATTGGAGGTCTACTTTTGGTTATCTTAGGCATCATGAGATCGTCGTCTGTGCGTGACCTTGCTGGACCAAGTCCGGCTTGGTTCCTACAATGCCGCACGCAAAATAATACAAAGGGTATTGTCGCAGTCGTCCAACCAAGGCCTACACTATCCGGCTTGCCCTATCAACTTCAATCTTGAACTCCTTCTTTTTGCCAATGACCAAGTGCGGTCGTCGGGCGCCATTTGCTCCAGAGCTCGTGTACGTTTCTTCTTGGGGGAAACTTGGACTCCGTTCCCCAACCCATACTTCCGCCTCGTGGCCGCGGTAAATATGGGTGGGGCGAAAGTGCTCATCGGCCGTCAACATGACGGGCGCATTGGGCAGGGGACTTTCTGATTGCCGGAGCTCTCCCCCAGACGACGAGCGGCGATGGTCAGGCACAGTTCGCTTGCTGCCACTGCGTGAGGGCATGTCGTTCATCAAGTACGACTCTGAGATGTTGTCTTGGTTTTTCCGCGGCATGGTACGGCGAGGCGGCAGAACAGAGCTTGCGCTCGAGCCTGTCGTTACGTGCTGGCTCGCCGAGCGATGCGAACTGCTATGGTTATAGTGCTTGTAGCTCTCGACGTACTCGCTGTCGAAGGGCTTGAGGAACGGACCCAGACCCGTGATGGTGCAACTCATGATGGCGTAGCCCATTTGCCACTGCGTGGCCACGAGGTAGTCGAACGTGTATGACCCGGCTATGCGGTCACGCAGAAGGTACAGCCGGACAGCTGCGATTGCGATGACGGGGAGACGCGCGCTGAATGCGAATACGACCAGGGCTTTTGCGCAGCGTCGCATGTGCAGGAAGTGGACTAATAGGACTGCCAGGGCGAAGATGAAGAATTCGGTTACCATGTCGAGAATGCCGATTGAGAGCCATTTGGGCCACTTGTACCAACACAGTCAGTCATTCTGTTTTTGAGTGAAGGAGATGGAGGAACTACATACCCGGTTGTTGCAGTTGGTGTGGTTTAGAATTGTCTGTGTTGGGTTACACGGCACCGAGACCAGGACGACAGATATTATGGTCCATATGCAAGATAAAGCCACGGTCGCCCATACTGCGATGCGATGCGAGCCTCCGGGCGATATCCGTAGGTGGAGGAAGAGAATGGATAGTTTGGAGGCCAGGATCACAAAGACGTACAGGAGCTGACTTGCAAAACCTTCCTATTCAGACTGTTAGACGTTGCTTCTGTGGAGCCCCAGTGCAGCACATCCTGGTGCGGATCCAGCACGATTCTGGAAATTTGGGGGGCCCAACTTACTTTGCCCAGTTGCTCGCGTTGCGGTAACGGTATTTTGTCCTGAGATGCGCCCAAGCCCAGAGTAACGAGGTGCAAGATAATGCCCGTCTGCACGGTGTCAAGCACCGTTGCTGCCGCAAACCACCAGTCTAAAAAAAAGCGAATTTTCAGTACGTGCGACATATGAAGAATTTGGAGGCAACAGGACGAAGTACTCACCATCTGATCTCCACTCTTTTAATCTCCATCGCAGCCAAACGCGGATCAATGAGCAGCACCAGACAAAAGCCAACACGGAAGCGCCCGTCACGACAATCAGGCCGCGCTTGTCATTGGCGGTGATGACATAGGGCGGAGGAACAACATCTCCCGCCATGAAGAGCAGAGGCAGAGGAGATGAGGCGACAGCGAAGGTGAAAAGAGGCCATAGGATAGCCGTTATGGGGACGTGACGCGACAGCAAAGGGATGCCTGGGAACTCTATAACTGCCCTTTTGCTGACAGCCGAGAGATCTCACAAAACCCCTCCAGGGCAACGATGGCAGTGCTCACCACACACCACACTAGCCTAGCGACATGTCCCGTGGGTCAACGCCCCCCACCCACCCCTGGCTCCCTCGTTGTCCTTCCGCCTTGCGAAGTGAGGCCCGGTCCCTCGTCGCTTATTACACCATTGGATCCAATTGTCATCCCGTGGCCTCGCCGGCTCTGCAAGCACGAAGCGAGCCAAATGCTAAATACGCCACAAGCCGTCTCCTAACTTAAAGCAGGCTTCTGAGCGGGCGGCCGAGCGGTACAGTGGTGACGAATTGCACATGATCGGAAACCTACCACGCCCGTGGATCTGGCCCGCCGCTGATGGTGCGGTTGAGCAAAGAAAACGCCATACATATTCAGCCGCGGTTAAGGGAATGGCAGGTGGATACGAGAGGGAACATTCAAAGAAGCAAAGAAACCGGAGGATCGACGTCAACGTATCGCGGTTCTGCTAGCCCACTGCAGATCGCCTTTTTCGTCCAAAGAAAATTTCCCAAATGTCACTTTTGTGCCGTGTCTTGGTTCGGCCGATTTCTCTTCAAACTCCCTGTAATCTGCCATGGAGACCGTCTTTTTTTCCGCCTCGTACTCACTTACACTTACTCGATCCCACCCCGGTAAACATGACCGCCGCCGCCTTTTTGCTTATCAAATTTCTATTTGCCTCTCCTGCATATTTGTAGCGCTAAGCATCGCAACCCCCCCGGATGAGGAAGCGGCCCGCGTGGTAGCATGGTTTGCCAATAAAACGGACCGACTTGCCCTCGAACCATTCATCACCCTGCGCGCATGACAGCTCCGTCGCGGGGTTCCTGTTGGCTGGCCGGGCGCTCTTCTCCTTTGCGCCAATGCTCAACGTGCGGCCGGTCCTCCCTTGTCGGCACATATGCATACCAAGATGGCTCTTACGGCATTGGATTCGAGGGCATTTCAGCCTAGCGGGCCCCACGCCCAGTGCTGTAGGAGCGGCAGAGAGACAAGCCACCGTTTTGACGAAGCGAAGGGCCTAGGTCTCAGCAACCAGCCAGCCCGTTTGTCAAACTAATGCGCTATCCAATTTGCCAGAACGTTTAGATCTCTTTTTTTCCTTTTACCTCTACCTACTAACAACGTTTCGCGTGAATTTTCTATTTTCCCGAGTCCCAGTCTCTCGGGTTTTCCTCCTCGGAATTCCTTTTTTTTCACTGGCCTTTGTTTGTTTTTGGCCAAATTTTTCCTCATATTTACATTACCTTGTTTAAAAGGCCTCGTTTTGGTCCCTTGGCGCTGCCGCTGGGAAACCCCGTGTGCCAAAACCGCTAGTCATGGCTGCTTACCAGAGCCAACCGCTCGGTGGCATGAACAAGCAGAATGCGCTCGAGTCGCGAGCCCATCGCCCTGGCTTTGCGGATGATGGCGAGAGCGAGGATTATCATGATTCCCTGAGGGGATACACGAGGGCGGACCAGGCAGACATGTTGCGCATGGGCAAGGTGCAGGAGTTGAAGAGGAATTATCGGCCGCTGTCTGCACTGGCTTTTACGGTCATCTTGCAGGGTACATGGGAGGTTCTCCTGACGTGAGTGACTATATGTGAGCGCTTTTAAGGACACGAGTTTGACAGCAGCAGTGCCACCTCTCAAGGTTTGATTGATGGAGGCCCAGCTGGCCTGATCTGGAGCTTCGTATGGACCTGGTTCGGCTTCAGCACCGTCATGTTGTCGCTGGCCGAGATGGCATCCATGGCGCCGACAGCTGGTGGACAGTACCATTGGGTTTCGGAATTCTCGCCTCCAAGCGTGCAAAAGCCATTTAGCTACTTCATCGGATGGATGTCGACTCTATCATGGCAAGCTGGTACCGCGTCCGGACCGTTTCTCGTGGGAACACTGATTCAGTCCTCGGCCATTGTCATGTATCCAGATTACTCTCCTACCAACTGGCAAGGAACGCTCATGGTCATCGCCGTCACCCTCTTGGTCTGGGTACTGAACATTTGGGGCTCAAAGTTCATGCCCATCTTCCAGAACATTATGTTGGTCATCCACGTGTTTGGTTTCCTAGCCATTATCATTGTCTTCTGGGTCTTGTCGCCACGAGCAACGGCCGAAGTGACATTTACACACTTTACTAACGGTGGCGGCTGGAGTTCCACTGGCCTGGCACTCATGGTAGGCCAACTATCAGCCATCTACGCTTGTATCTGTACGTTTAGCTCCAAGGTTATACCTTTTGTGACAACACTAACGTTAAGCTACAGGCTCCGACTCTGCAGCCCACATGGCCGAAGAAATCAAGGACGCAGGTAAAACCGTTCCCCGCGCCATGATCGGCGCCTACATCATGAACGGCGCCCTCGGTGTCGTCTTCCTCATCAGCTACATGTTCATGATCACCGACGTCCAAGCTGCCCTCGACGACGCAACCGGCTACCCACACATGTGGGTTTTCGCCCAAGCCGTCTCCACCGGCGGCGTCATCGCCCTCAACGCCATCCCCACCGTCCTCATCTTCGCCGGAACCCTAACCTACAACCTCTCCACATCCCGCCAGACCTGGGCTTTCGCTCGAGACCGCGGTCTCCCCTTTAGCAGCTGGATCGGCCATGTAGACCCCAAGCTCCAGGTCCCTGCAAATGCGGTGACGGTTACGTGTGCTCTTACGATTATTCTGAGTTTTATTAACATCGGCTCGGATGTTGCCTTCAATGCTAGTGAGTCAACCCCCTTCTTCTTTTCCTATCGAAAAGCTATGCTAACAAGGGTACCCCAGTCATCTCCCTCAATGTCGTCGCCCTGATGATAACTTACATGTTCTCCATCGGCGCCGTTCTCTACCGCCGCATCATGCACCCAGAACTTCTGCCCACATGCCGCTGGTCCCTCGGCAAATGGGGTGTCCCCGTCAACATCGGCGGCTTCCTGTATTCCACTCACGCCTTCTTCTGGTGCTTCTGGCCTGAAGCTACGCCTGTGGAGGCCGAATCGTTTAACTGGGCTGTTGTCATGTTTGCAGCTGTTGCGTTGTTTAGTGGAGTCGATTATGCGGTTCGCGCAAGGAAACAGTACAAGGGGCCTGTTGTCCTGGTGGAAGGGTTTAAGGGAGAGTGACTCTTGGGTGGATGGGGGAGCGAGGAGGACGGAGATGATGAAGATGATGAAGATGAAGAGTAAATAGGTTGCGTGGTAATTTCAGAGGTATATATTTTCGTATAATTGTGGTTTCTGTAAGAGGAAACGCGAACTAGTCAGTTCCAAAAAAGCTTTGTTTTTATCTGTTGAAGTTGTGATAAGATATGGATGGTGCCTGTGTCTATGTGGTTACGTGACGTATCTACATTCACATAGGAAAGCTTTGTACTGGGCCAACGCCATGAAATCTCGGGGTGGCCCGAGAAACAAGCGGTTAATTCGGTACCAAAAGATCAATGTCTAACGGCATCTAGCTAATCGTTGACATCGTTGAAGAGCATAGCCCACATTGGATACCTTGGCAGAAGGTGATGTCTGGTATAGTCTCATCCGCAAAGTGGGGCATCTGATAAAAATTTGCATCGGCAGACTCTCGGATCTGATAAGATGCCACTCCGGTCACCAATCACGTCTTCTACTCTCAAGTCCATGGTGGTAGTGGATCGTCCGTGGAGACTACAAGCCACCGGCGCGCTGTACACTGCTCGTCTTTCCCGATGTCGGTGTAGCGTCTCACATGTTGCGTTGGTAGCAATAAGTAGCAGACAGTCCGCCTTGTCATCCCTAATCTAATCAGATCATCTCCCACCCCTCTGCTCACAGCCTCGTTTTTGCTTACCCCCACGACGCTTCCGTTATCAGATCAAAGATCTCTTCACAATGAGGCTCACAGAAACCCTGAGCAGCGTTAGCTCATCGGGCCCTCATCGGGTTCTCGTTGTGGGCTGCGCTTACGGCGGCATCTCAGCCGTCCTCAACCTTCTCGAATACTCACAGGGCCGCGCACGGCAAAGCGTGTACCCAGGCCCGGACTTCAAGGGCGTACGGAGTAGACGAGGAGTCGAGATTACAGTTATCGATGAGCGTGATGGATATTGTGCGTTTTGCCCCCCCCCCCCCCCCTCTTCTAGCCGAGGCTTGACTTGTGTGCAATTGGACCCCGCTATCAAATCCAATCCCCCCACCATCACCCTCCTTACCACTCCTAAAGAGCATAACTAATGCTTGAGTCTCTTCACAGTCCACTCTGTTGGCTCACCGCTTGCCCACGTGACGCCGAAATATACGGCGTATATGTGGAAGAGGTTCAGCCATTTGAATGAGTTGAAGCAGCCGAACCTACATTTCAAGCATGGAAGCGTTAAGAATGTCAACCCTGAAGCCAAGGTTGTCGCATGGTGCGATCGTAATGGTCAGGTGCAACTGCAGGCATATGACTACCTTGTCATGGCTACAGGGCTGAAGAGGCCGTTCCCCGCTGTGCCAAAGTCTGGGACCTTTGAGGAGTATCAAAGAGATGGAAGGGCGTTTATTGAGAAGATTACCGGTGGTGATCCGTCAAAGTATGAGGGAAGAAGGGTAGTCGTCATTGGCGCTGGCGCTGTCGGAATCGAGTTCGCTGCTGAGATCAAGACCAACTACCCGCAAATTGCCGTCACATTGGTACATTCGCGGAGTGAAGTTCTCTCATCAGAGCCCCTGCCTGCAGAAGTCAAGGAGCGCGCAAGAATTCTTCTCGAGGAAGAGGGTGTTGCTCTGCGTCTCGGTAGCCGGGCTACCATCACTGAGATGCCAAACGGCCAGTACACCGTCACACTGGCAAACAACGAAACAATCACCGCAGACTTTGTCATTGACTCGACAAAGAAGGGCACACCTACCACCGACGTCTTACCTGCGGAATGTCTAAATGCCGACAAGGAAGTCATGGTGCACCAATCGTTAATGTTCAAAGACACAATCGCAAACGCATCCTCGCACTTTGGCGTCGGTGACGTGATTGCGTGGACCGGCATCAAGCGCGCAGGCAGCGCAACAGTCATGGGCCAAGCCGCCGCTCAAAACATTTACTCCGCCATCCTCAACTCCGAACTGGACCCCTCATCCGAGCGATACGGGACGGCGGAGCTGCCCGCTTGGGACGCAGTCATTGGTCTGGCTGTCGGCAAGCAGTGTCTGACGTACGACCCAACGAACGGCATCAAGTACGGTGTCGAGGTTATGAAGGGTTACTTTGGCGATGATTTGGGATGGGCGGCTAATTTGAAGTATCTGGGCCTTACGGATGTGGTGGAGAGGGTGGATAGCCCCGTTGAAGCGACGAAGATGGCGGAGGTGGGGATTAAGCCTGTGAGTGCGCAGGCGTAGGTATGCACTGATGGGATGAGATGTGATAATATACGGGATTTTACCTTTCTAGCGCAGGAAGATGTTTACATGTAGTGAGAGAGCTGTCCAAGATGGCTCTGATTGTTATGATGAGAGAAGACAATGACAACAACAACAATGACAATAATAACACACTGAGAGTGAAGAGACAGACTCGTTGGGACGCCTACTCAAGGCCAATGGGGTGCTGAGAGAGGTCCCTGCATCCGCGTGGTGAGAGTGCATTGTTGGGAACATACGAGGCTTGGACGGCTGATGCGAATCTATCGCGAGAGACACGAGACGACACGCAACGTGACTTACAAACAGAATGCGCTAAGGCGATACGAGTGGAGCCCGCTAAACCATATGCCGATGCCGTTGCTGCACGTTGACTGACGTGCATGATCCATCTTACCAACACCGCCTTTTATCCCATCGCAACCAGACGCGAGCGAAGACAAACAACCCCGGAGATCCAGGAATCCAGAAAGTGTGGAGAGTCCGGATTATCCTCAAAACCGGGGGAGTGAATGCCGCGCCGTTATTCGTCCCGTTTGCCAATTTCCCGTCAAAGCCGGTGTTCCGTCCAGGAAAGGGGGGCCGCGGTGGCTCATCCATTCACTCGTCCCCCTTTAAACTCTTGTAATTCCATCGCTTTTCGCCTTTTGTTACCCTCGTCGCATTGTCGTCCTCGTGGGCTACTTTTTTTTTTCCCTAAGAGATGCGGGGGAAGTAAGAAAAAAACGTTCGCATGCGTTGGAGTCGTGTGAACATGTCATGCGGCGTCCCACGCGACAAGCCATGCATCCCACTACTTGCAACATTTCTGCGTGTTGGAACCGCAACTCCCGCATTGCGAGCAGGCGTTCTAGAAGCGGTTGCTGGGATGTTCCACTTATTTTGAAAACGGATTGCTGCTCACATGGTGGCCGATGCGTCTCCGTGGCTTGTCCTAGTAACTCAACTAGGCTGCCAGAATGATATGTATCCTGTCCCGAGGTCTCCATTTATGTCTCCATCACTTGCGCACTGTCTTCGCCTCCCCCCCCCCATTACGCACTGTTTTGATCTCCCACGGTCTTTGCTGTAAGGCTGACACTGGGCACTATCAATCGCATACTCGACACTGCTTCGACTTAGTGAACGCACACTTTGACCGAGTCAGGACACCCTGGCTGCGCATACACCATGTTTCCCAGTGTAAAGGACCGAGCACGACAATTGTTTGGGGAGGCCGCCGTTCCCGACACTCCACCTCCACCTCCAGTCGCAACTGGTAGGAGAGGCGCGCCGATAAGGGCGACAGCAGCAGCAACAGCCAAGTCGACCCCAGAACCAAAAGCACAACCAAAAACACCCGCGAGACCCTCGAGAGCCGACCCCAAGTCAAAGAAGAGTGCGCCGCCACCGCCGGTCGAAGAGACACCAAAACCTATAGGGTCATGGCCGAGCCCGTTTGAACAATTCAAGGCGAGAGCGGCGCCACCACCAGCGAAAGTGACGCCGCCAACGCCATCAAAAACTACGTCCAAGTCAGCGAAATCTGCTTCCGTAGTATCGAAGTCAGTCAAGTCTTCCAAGGAAAAGACCGAAAAGTCTTCAAAACCAAGCGACAAGAAATCGCGCTCAAAAAGCCCTCCAACCACCAAAGTCGCACCCACCCCCAAAAAGGCTCCCGAACCCAAAATCATCGCAAAGAAGAAAGTCGAATCAAAACCCGCCCCCGAACCCAAAAAACCTGCCACTCGCCCCAGTCTCTTCTCCCGTGCCACCACATCCTCGACCTCGCGCCCAAAAATCCAACGCTCCTCCTCCTCTTCCTCCCTCGACTCAAGCTCCGAAGAAGAAAGCAGTTCCTCCGACGAAGACTCGGAAGACGAAGACGACCTCCGTGCAGCCTGCATGCGCGAAGTCTCCAAAATCGGCGCTCTCAAGGGTAAAAACCTCGCTATCCAGCTCCGCCAGCGCTCCGAGGGCGGCTGGTACGCTGCTCTCAAAGATGTCGGCGCCGACAAGTACCTCAAGATGTGGATGAATCGCGATAAGACGTTTGAGACGCAGGAGGAGGCGCTTGAGGCGTATCTTGTGTTTGTGAAGAAGATGGGGGCTGATGTTAAGCTTTTTGGGCCGTTGAGTCCTAAAGTTGGGGGCAGGGGGAGGGGTTTCTTTTCTTAGGTTCTGAGATTGGACCTGATGAAGTTGGGGGTTTGGTGGAGGAGGAGCGTGTGTAACACCACCACCCCCCCTTTTTTTCTATTCTTCTCTTTCTTTACTTTTGTTTCTTGGATCCCCTCCGATAGGTCTCTCTCTCTATCTCTCTTTTTCTTTCACGAGGCGCGCTTTTTCTGGGACTGGATTTGTCGTGCGAGTACTCCGCTTGCTCGTAGTCCCTTCTTTCTCTTTTTTTATCATTGTAATATGTACGGTGTAAGATTATGTACGATTAGGAGATTTGCATGTTTTTTTTTCTTCTTCTTCAAGCCGTTTGGGGCTTACTGGCGCTGGGGGGGAATCTGGAATGAGGAACTTTTAATGATCTTGCGCTGGCTGGCTGGATATATACCCCACTCTGGATTGTTTTATGCGCAAGGTTGTTATCAAGGCGTTGGGGTTTAGGACTCGACCGATGAAGTTATGCTGGATACTTGGGCTTAATGGTAATAACTTCTTTTCTTCTTCTCTAACCTGCTTGTCTATCGAGATCAGAGACATTTGGATTTTTTCGGATCTTCCAGATTTAGCTATTTATTGAGGGTTACTGCGTTGAAATATGCGCTTTAGTTACAAATGGCATGCTACTTTTTCTGAAGATCAAACGTATCCAAACGAATCATTTGGTGGAGTGGCGGGGCTGGCCCTGCATCATCTATCCTAGCGACATGGCACGTCATGTTTTCGTATACGACGCCCCATCTTTTATGAAAATAATACGTATCATCTCAAAAATAGCAAAGGGCTGTTCTCGAAGCGCGTTTTTCGCGAGTTGTCTGTTATACGTAGCAAATTGCATCGCATACGCCGCGATACTACATCATTAATTTATAGACACCAACATACACTAGAGCTAAATATGCAAACTTCACAACGCACTGGTGCGCAAGATACAGCACTTGATAGAAATAAATCAATACATTAGTTCTACCTGACGCATATTGTATATTGAGTTGATGCGACGCCTAGTTACTGTAGTCGGAAGTGTCACCTACGCCAATTCAAATCATTATGACGACATGACATGCAACATCTTGGTGAACCATATGTTGAACAAAACCCCATAGTTTGAGGAATTCTTCGCAATCCAAGTAAACAAAACTCCTTGACGTATTCAATATATTGAACTACATACACCATGGACACAATCAAGAAAGCAATCGGCAGCGCCTTCGACCCTAACACCGACATTCCAGACCTGAGCGGAAAGGTAAGCTCTCATCCCCCAAAAGAATACCCAGGTCCTAATTGAAGACTAGGTTTATGTCGTAACAGGCGGCTCCGCTGGCATCGGCTATGGCATCGTTGCCCATCTCCTCCAACACAACCCTGCCAAAATCTATCTCCTCTCGAATAAAGAAGACCACGCCGACGAGGCCCAAGAGGCGCTCAAGGAATGGGGTGATGTCAGCAAGGTTGAGTGGCGCAAGTGCAACCTTGAAGACTTGAAGCAGGTGGACGAGGTGGCTAAGTCGCTGGCAAAAGAGCTGGACAGGCTTGATGCATTGGTTTGCAATGCTGGTCTCGGTGTTGGTGTGTACAACGAAACGCGCGATGGCCTGGACAGCCACATGCAGGTCAACGTCTTCTCACAAGCCCATCTCACACTCGTGCTCTTGCCCATTTTACAAAAGACGTCAGATTCGCGCATCGTGCACCAGTCGTCCGACCTCCACCGTGGTGCAGACTCGAGCATGAAGTTTGAATCAATTGATGAGATCAACCAGGATATCGGTGCCACGAAGCTCTACAACCGAACAAAACTGGCCCAGATTCTCTTTCTTCGCGAACTCTATTCCCACATCAAGGCGGGCGACTTTGGAGAGGTTACGAACAGTTTGGGTCTGCCGTGGATCAATGCAACACACCCCGGTGGTGTCTTGACGGATCAACAGAATCAAGCCATTGAAGCGTATGGCACGCTTGGTAAGGTCGGCGTGAATGCTGTGCGACCATTCATGAAGGACCCAGTGGCCGAAGGCTGTCGGCCTGCCCTGTTTGCAGCAGCATCGCCAGACATTGTCAAAGATCAAATCCAGGTGAGTCATACAAACTTAGATGGAGTATCGTGCTAATAGTTCTAGAACTCATACATTGTTCCCGATAAGAAGGTACAGGCGCCATCTAACCAGGCCCTGGATGAGAAGCTGCAGGCAAACGTGTGGAAGTTGACAAAGGAGGTGTTGGAGTCAAAGCTTGGAAGTTTGCCGTATCAAATGAAGGTTTAAGGTGTCCATACAGGGTAGTTCTGTAGTAAAAGTATCGGACCGACCCTACGATAGAATACCACACCAAATAATGTAGTATAATTTCAGATTGCATCTTGAAGCATGAGTGGTCTTAACGGTTTGTTGAGTCACAGTAGACTTCGTTGCTAAACCCTACGCGTCAGCGATCTACATTTTGCTCTGATAGGCACGCAAAGCGTGTACAGCGTCTGTCTTAAGTTACTACGTGTTGGTGCATTTCCCGTGTTGTAGTCGCGCATGTAGTCCGCATTTGTGCAAAGGGCGTGTTATCTCGGTCTTTTACCCCACTGCCAACGTCATGTCTCCAAGTGGGGTTACTCAGATGCTTCCAAACAACGATACCAACAATAAGATGCGCGAAGTATAAATATCGCTGAACCGCATTGCTGATAATCATCAACACGACTCATCATCTTTTTCCAAGTCATACTCAACTATTCTAGTATACCGATTCGACTACTATTTCGTCCCTTTACAAGTCATCCAGCGCGACTATTCAACATGGCCAAACTCACAGACTTCAAGCTCCTTTCATTCGACGTCTATGGCACGCTCATAGACTGGGAAAGTGGAGCTTTGATCGGACTTGAGCCCCATTTGAAGAGATCCGGCAAAGAAGACATTGACCGTAAGCAACTCTTGAAAACCATGCACGAGATCGAGGCTCGCGTCGAGAGGGAACAAGGCCACCTCAAGTACTCCGAGGTACTTGCTAAAGTCCTCCCTGAGCTGTGCTCGACAGTCGGGCTGCAGAAGCCCAGCGAAGAAGAATGCACAAAGTTTGGCGCGAGCATTGGCGATTGGCCCGGATTCCCCGACATACCTTCTGCACTGGAGCGGCTCTCCAAGTTCTACAAGTTAGTCGTCTTATCCAACGTCGACCACGACTCGTTCAAGAGGGGCAATGCAAATGGTCTCAAGGGCTACAAATTCGACGCCGTATACACAGCCCAGGACATTGGATCTTACAAGCCTGATCCCCGGAACTTTGAATACATGCTTGCACATGTCAAGGAGGAGTTTGGCGTGGAGAAGCACGAGGTGCTGCAGACGGCGCAGTCGCAGTATCATGATCACCACCCCGCCAAGGATATGGGGATCAAGAGTTCGTGGATCTATCGACCTGGGGCTGTCATGGGGAACCGCGATGATCCGGTGTATACGTGGAAGTTTGACACGCTTGCGGATATGGCGGATGCGGTGGAGAAGGAATTTGCAGCGCTGGGACGATGAGTGTAAAAAAAAACGAGTAAATACACACGTAGTTTGGGTATGAGTTATTTTTTTTCACCGTTTCGAAGAAGAAAGAAACTAGAATGCATTTACATTGAGTCTAGTCTGACAAAGTATGTGAAGCTTTGCGTTCGTCCAAAGTTTATTTTGTCGGCGTCAAAACAATGGCCGCTCAGAGTAAGCCAAATTTTTGGTGGCTGGATTACTATACGCTAGTGTTGCGGGGTGCAGGCGGTCTAATACGATAGTCTTGTCCTCGCTGCCTGCATGCATATCGGTCACGCGCATATGTATATTCTACCGACGGAGATTGAACCCCTGATGCAGATTTCTAGTTCCCTTCGGGCTGGACGATGCATCGGTAGGAGAGAGAAAATAAAGACAAGTCCGGCTGAAGACAAGCATGGATGGCGCATCCGTGCCAATTCTTGCGCTGCCGTGGACCCATCCACAGTCCGCTGTGCCCTCGGTCTCTACTATAGCGAGATTTATGGGACCAATTGATTTTTCTTTCTTTCTTTCTTTCGGGAACAAGTTGTCTAGAACGAAAGACGGCACTGGTTCCCGGCAAGACTGAGCTTGACCTTGATATGTACTTGACTCGGGCATGATCCTAACGGGGCTTGGCAACGTCATACTGGCCGGCCCTATGCCTTTTCTCCACACTCAACACCAGATTTGCCCATCGCGCACCACCCACCGCCTCAACTAGCGCCAACAAACGCCATTCTGGCCGCAGATTATCCGCAGTAGCAGTTACTTTGAATCTGGAGCCCCGCAGTCTCTGCGCGACCTGCTCCCTGACACCCTGCAGCACACATCGGCAACCATGACGGACCGACTCCCTGGACCGTCTGCTGCGGTACCACCAGCAACGATACCGGAGCAAGAAAGCACTATAAAAGGTAGTCATTTCCCCCCGCGATGGTTCAAGAGGAGGCTCGCCATCATCATGATTTTCTCAAGTAGTACCGTGTTTCTCTTTTGGTACTTTGGTGCCTTCACCTATGCGAGGCCAACTTATCCTCCGGCCCTGCCACAGCCGGGAACGCCACAACGACCGAGTCCTCCAAACAAAGAGACACCAGACCAGTCTCTACTCATCAGCCTGCCCGGATATGGCAGCTTCCAAGGCACCAAGCTGTTGATGGATCTGAAGAAGACGGAGACTTTCAGCAGACCGGTAGATGCTTGGTTGAATGTCGAGTACTCTACGCAGCCGGTTGGACCAGGCCGATTCAAGCCAGTTACCTGGCCTGCGCCTTTTAATGGCACAAAAGATGCGACAGCGAATGGACCGGCTTGCTTCCAGAACATGTACAGCTCGCTGGGACAGTCTGAGGCTTGCCTCACCATCAATGTCTACCGACCATCTGGCGTCTCCATGGAAAAGAAGCTGCCATCTTTGGTCTACCTGCACGGTGGATCATTTGTTTCTGGCTCTCACCGCAGCTTCGATGGTGCTACGTTTGTTGAGAGAAGCACGGAGCCTCTCATGGTTGTCACAGTGCAGTATCGCCTTGGCGCACTAGGCACTCTCCCTGCAAAGTTCATGGAAGAAGAGGGTCTTTTGAACCTGGGGATCCGAGATCAAAAGATGGCGCTGGAGTTTTTGCAAAAATACATTGGCCACTTTGGAGGCGACAAGGACCAGATCACGCTTGGTGGACAGAGTGCTGGCGGCCACGCTGTTGGCATTCATCTCTTCCACAACTATGCTGAGGATGCTGGCAAGCCATTGTTCAGCAAGGCTGCCATTTCATCTGGTTCGCCGACTGCTCGTGCATTCCCAGGTATCGACTATCCGCTCTACCAACGCCAAGTTGCAGACTTTATGGATTATCTCAACTGTCCTGAATCACCTACCTCGGAAGCGCTTGCGTGCCTGGAGGCATCTGAAGTGGATGATATCCAGTTCATTTCCTCGTCAATCTACAATGCCCACAACTACAACATCACATGGCCCTGGCAGCCTGTTTCTCCAGGACCAATCTTCGAGAAGCGTGGCTCGACATCTGGCGAGGAAGGAACTTTCTTCAAGGTCCCTCTCCTCATCTCTTCTACTACCGACGAAGGAAAAGCTTTCGCACCACAGGACCTACGCACTGATGCCGAGTACCTTACCTTCTGGGAAACTCTGACCCCAGGCCTGAACGCCGAGGATCTTGCTGATCTGGAGCAATTGTACCCCAACACAAAGATTGCACCCGGCACACTGGGATACGTTTCCGACCAATTCGAGCGTCTCTCCGCTGCTTATGGAGACTACTCGTACATCTGCCCCGTCCAAGATACCGCCGTTGTCCTCTCCTCCGCCTCCGCACCTGTCTACAAGGCACGCTGGAACACACCCAACTTCTCGCCAACATACAGAGGCATACCTCATGCCAGCGACTCTCTCTACTTCAACGGCCAGCTCAACACACAATACCCGGAGATATCCGTGCTCTACAGCGCATACTGGGCGAGTTTCGTCGTCAGTGGCGATCCAAACACGCATCGTGTTGCCGACTCTGCGGTCTGGGAGAAGTACGAGGGTGCTGGAAGTAAGCAGTTGGTAGTTAGCCCTCCAGACCAAGGTGGCGCGTATATGGAGGATGAGGGAGTGGCAATTAGGTTGGAGCAGTGTAAATGGTGGAGGGACCCGGAGAGGGCGAAGAGGCTTAATAAGTAAGCTTGTCGTAGTGTAATGATAATTATCTGAATGAAAAACATTTTCGATCATCTTGATATGTGCTCTTAGATACTAGTCTAATCCATGTAAATGTATGGAGTTACGAGGTGAAATTGGTTCTGATATTAGTTTTATGTAATACAACCTACCTGTGTAATCTCACCTAGAACACCACGCTGATAAATCGAACCATAAGTTCGTTATTTTTAGGACGCACCGAGAATTACATATGCATGTACGTTATGTCATCCTCTACTGCCGGGGTTTGCGTCATCGGGAGGTTGCGCCTGCTGCTGCTGACTGTGCTCGTAACCATGTTTTGCTTGTAGTCCACATCCAACGTTAAATAGTGGAACGGACGTGTAAGGTAAGCGGGTGATGGTGGAAAGACGGCGAGTTGGATCGGCGTGTGTCGGGCATCAAGTGATACCGTGTGAGGCGGGAGATATGGAGTTTTCTAGAGTATGAGATTGGTTCAGGATGTTCGGGCTGCTAGAGGCTCATACGAATACTCGGTCATTGCTTTTGTGGCGGGTTGAGAGACACACCGCCATAGCTTCAAGTACGCCATCTTCTCTCGCTACCCACAGTCATCCATCCATAGATCACCAGAGACGTGCCTCGGCTCAAGCACATTGTTCAAAGCCGGACCGAGATTGTTGAAGAAAAGGCAGGTGGGCGTGATAGTATGTAGTGGAAGCGAGGCTAAGGTGAACGGCGTCGTCGCATAGCTTCTTGAGGCCTTCAGCCAAGGGCTCCAAGGTTGCATACACGATGGTATATCTTCTCAGTAGTCGACGGGGGTTTGACCTGAACAAGGCCGACGGAGCGAGGAAAACTAGTGCATGGCGATCAAAGATGCACAGGCGGCCGTGCGAGGTTGCGCAATGGAAGGATGTGCAAATAGGCGGGCGGGAGGCTGCAGACGCTTGAGAAGATGATGCATTTTACGGTTTGGAAGAAGGAGATATTCCGGCACCTAGACACTGCATATCTCTCCATCCCGATCACGTGTTCCTCGTGTTCCTGACGGGACAGCGGGCGGAGTAGCCCAAAGAGGCAGGACGAAACCGAGGACTATACCCAAAACGGTAATATATACTGGCCCGGGCGGGTTTCACCCGAAGCCTCATTACATCCTTACCATTGGCCCAATTTTGTTCCGAAGGCTCTCAGCGGGGCCTAATCCTCCCCCGTGCCTATGACAACCCACATGGGCTGTCCAACCCTCCACCCAAGCCACCATTCACAGACGCCGCTAGCCTGGCCAAACGTGAAACGCCATTTATTTTCCCTCCCTTCCCCTCCAAACTAGATTGTCCTTAGCATGCATATCTCAATGGCCATGTTTGGTGTTTCCACCACTCACGAAACAGCCCGTTGCACAACACCCTCTCATTCCACATTGTGACCCAGGGGCCCGCTTTTCTAGATTCCGTCAAAAGTCCTTGAATACAGACTAAAAATATATTACTATATATCTTATGCTTGGAATGCTGCTGGTTGTAGTTTGTTGCTCGTCCACCGCCCTCTCTCTCTCTCTTCACATCCCCATTCTTTTTTTCTCCCTCTTCTTGGTCCGACGCCTGGCTGTTCAAGATGCGTTACTCTCTTGTTGCTTCGCTGCTTTCTGCAGTCACTGCAGTCTACGGCTATGCCAACCCTATGGAATGCACGGGAATCTGCAACAACGCCCATGATCCCGCTCTGATTCGCCGTAAAGATGGTACCTATTTCCGTTTCTCGACTGGCGGCAAGATCGCCATCCATACCGCGCCCAAGATCACTGGTCCCTGGACCTACAAGGGTGCTGCCATTCCCGCGGGTTCGAAGATCAACTTGCCTGGCAAGGACGACCTATGGGTATGCTTGATTCCGCCGAAACACCGTCATCTCTCTCCCCCCCAGCTAACCCACTACCTTACAGGCCCCCGACGTAACCCTGGTCGGCGACACATACTACCTCTACTACAGCGTGTCCTCGTTCGGCAGCCAAAACTCAGCCATCGGCGTAGCAACCAGCAAAGACCTCAACACATGGACCGACCTCGGCGCCACGGGCATCCAGTCCAGCAGCGGCAAAAACTACAACGCCATCGACGGCGCCCTCTACTGGGACGGCTCCAAATTCGTCATGTCCTTCGGTTCCTTCTGGCAGGACCTCTTCAGCATCGGCATGACCAACCCGCCCCTCAAAACCAGCTCCTCAGCCGTCACAAACATTGCCTTCAAGCCCGAGGGTACCCACGCCCAGGAAGCCCCCTTTATCGCTCTCAACGGCAAATACCACTACCTCTTCTTCTCTGTCGGCAAGTGCTGCGGCTTCGATACGAACAGGCCCCCCCGGGGCGAGGAGTACAAGATCCAGGTCTGCAGGTCCACCAGCGCTACGGGCGGCTTTGTCGATAAGAACGGTGTCGACTGCACTCGCGGTGGCGGTACCACTGTGCTCGAGTCTCACGGCTGGGTCTACGGTCCCGGTGGTCAGGGTGTGTACTATGACCCCCAGATGGGTCCTGTACTTTACTACCACTACGTTGATACCCGTATTGGATACCAGGATGGCCAGAAGAAATTCGGTATCAACAAGATTGACTTTTCGAGTGGTTGGCCTGTGGTGTAGATGCTTGGCCTGCTGCGCTGAGTATTTACATATACTTGCTGACATCTTCTTCTTGCTTCGGCACTTCTTGTTTATATTTTATTTTGTATATAGAAACCAATCACGTCACATGTCATGAGTGTTGCCACATATGTAGAATACCACTGTTTACAGCTCATCCACTCTGTCTTTGCAACTTCTAAAGTCGAATCTCACTGGAAAACCACAAAGCAAAACACATCGATATAGTGAAATCTCTGACATTGATATGAAAATAAAAAAGACCAAGGTACTACTATATCAAATAACGCCCCCACCAACCCCCAAAACTACTTACGAAAAAAAGAAAACTATTTCATACAAACATTACACAATCATACAACCAACCATAGAAGCAATTTAAGCAGCAACAACCAACGACGACTTAAGATGCGAGCTCTTGGCCGCAATCGACAGCGCCATAGCGCTCAAACTCGGCGCTTGCATGATATCAAAGATGGACACTTCAGCACCAGCCTTTGTTGCCAGCGTATTCCTCAGCTCCACCGCTGTCAGGGAGTCGACACCGAAATCCGCCATGGGCTTGTGCGGGAACACTTCAGCCTCTGGAATCATAAAGATATCCATGATCTTAGCGGTGATCTCGCCCGCGACCGCGGTAGCAGCCTCCTCGAGCGAGGTGGCGCTTGAAATGCGACCGGCGAGAGTATCAGCCATGCCTGCATTTGCGCTCTCATCGCCTGACGAGCGGAACTTGGCGGGCCAGAAGCGGAGGTCGCGAGATGCTGGGCCTTCGTCCCAAAGGGCACTGGTGGGTGCGGTGTTGATGCCGAAGACGAGCTGGGTGGCAAAGGGCGAGGTGATGGCGCAGGCGAGGGACTTGAGGACGTCGCCTTCGGAGAGGACCATGTGGCCAAGCTTCTTGAGGTAGTTGTGCGTGTCGTCGTGCTCGGCGACGTATCCGACGTTCTTGACTGCACCGATGTCGATGGAGACGCAGGGGAGACCGCGGCTGGTGCGGTGCGCTGCCAATGCGTCTTGGAACGCACCACCCGCGCCGTAGTTGCACTGAGATGCAATACCAATGATACCAGCAATGGAGGAGAGAATAACGAAGAAGTCGAGAGGAGCAGATTCAAAAGCAGTGTGCAGGTTCCACGTACCCTGGACCTTGGGACGCAGACCAGTCGTGTAGTCGGCAAGAGACATTTGCTCGAGAATCGAGTCGCGGAGAACCATGGCACCCTGAATCACACCGCGGACGGGAGGCAAGTCCTTGACGGATTCAACGGCGCGCTTGACATCGTCCTCGTTGGCAATGTCGCAGGCTACGGCCCTGACTTGGCATCCGAGGTTGCTCAGGTCGTTGAGCAGAGGAGCGGCCTTGTCGGCGGCGTTGGCACTTCGAGAGAGGACAATGAGGTTCTTGGCTCCGTGTTCAGCAAGCCAGACACAGATGCTCTGGCCGATACCTCCGAAGCCACCGACGACGACGTAGGATGCGTCTGCGTGGAGCTTGACAGTGGGCATCTGGCGGATAACCTGCTTGAATGTTAGCAAATGAACTCGAGGATTGTGTGGGAAAATAGAGTATACATACCGGTACAGTACTCTCAGGCTTGACTGATAGAACGACTGTTCCAAGCGATCCGCTCGACTGAGCGCTACGGAAAGCCTGGACAGCGTTGGAGATGTCGTGCACCGAGATCGGTACACCACGAATCTTCCTCGTCTTCATGAGGTCAAGGGTGGAAGTCAAGGCGCGGTGCACTTGGCGTCCCTTGTGCTTAGCCAGCATGGTGACGTCGATTGCGGAAAAGGTGATGCCACGAGCGAAAGCACCCATGTCCAGGCGGCTGTTCTGCTCGAGATCCCTCTTTCCGAGCTCGAAGAAGTGACCGAGAGGAGCAACACATTCAAGAGTCTTGTGAAGCAGCGATCCTTCGAGCGTGTTGAGGACGACGTCGACACCACGGCCATTCGTCTTGGTTTGGATGGCTGTGGCAAAGGCAGAGTCGGTGCTTGGGAAGATGTGGTCTCCCTTGAGGCCAATGACACGCCTGAGGAAACTGTTGTGCTCGGGGTCGCTGACTGTAGCAAAGATCTCTGCGCCGACGTACTTGGCGAGCGAAACAGCAGCTTGACCGATGGCAGAGCCGGCATCGTGGATGAGAATGCTGTCTCCCTTCTGGACGTGGGCAACGTCCATGAGCGAGATCCAGGCCGTTGCATATGCGACGGGAATGGCAGCAGCAAGCTCAAAGCCCATGGCAGCTGGGAGTTGTACCGCGCTGGTCCAAGGGACACGGATTCTGTTGCCAGATTCGCCGTCCATGACGATTGCGACACGGTCGCCGACTTTGTAGCCCTCAGACGCGGCATTCGCACCGACTTGAGTCACTGTACCAGCACACTCGAAGCCCAGGGTTCGGTCTTGGATCGTGTTTGACGCAGCACCAATGTCGCGAGGCGTGATGCCGAAAGCTTGAGGAGAAACCTCAATCTCGTCGGCCGCAATCTCAAGACCTGACTTGTCGGCGCTGGGAGCGAACACAAGGCTTTCAAGATGTCCAGGGTTCTCGATAGTAAGGTGGACCGAGCTGTCGACAAACTTCTGCAGAACAGTGGTGTTTGCCTCGTCGGTGTCAGGGAACCAGACATCATTGCGGGCATGGTCCTTGAAGTAGCGCAAGATGTTGATGCCGTTGCGGTCAGCGAACTCAAAGTCTCGGGGCTTGTTCTCGGCGGGATTGGCAAAGAGGCCGGCGTAAACGCTGCTGACGGCTGAGACGGTGGAAGCGGACCAGACCTCTGCCTTGGAGTCGAGGTCGAGGGTGGCGAGAAGCTTGCCGACGTACTCGAGGCGGAGAATACGAAGGAAACCAGAAGCCAAGCTTGAGAATGGGTCAGCGCTTTCCACTGTTCCACCCTGGGTAACCCAGAGCAGACCCTTGGACTTGATGCAGGCATTCTTAACTGCCTCGAACTGCGCATCCCCGGGGTTGATGAGAAGCTTGCTTAAGACCTCAGGGAGGAAGACAACGACTTTTCCTTCGCAGTCAAGGTTGTCATATGGCTGAACAGTGGGCTGCGAGTTAGTGATGGCACCAACGGCATCAGTCAAGCTCTTCAGCCATTCCTGAGGGGGGCTCAGTGTAGGGATCGCAATGACAACCTCTTGGTGGTATGAAGGCGCCTCAGTCTCAGTCGAAGACATCAGGACACTGTAGGCGTAAGCCTCGTTGCTCTCGCAGTCACGGACCTCTGTATCCAGTCCAGTGAAGCCGTTCTTCTTGAGCACGTCATTCCAAGCCTCGGCGGTCAAAGAAGGAGTCAACAATCGCTGCTCCTCGTCGTCAAGGCTCGCGTCGGACAGCAGGCCGAATGTCATACGGAAGTCTGGCTGGTCGTTGGTTCGCTCAATGGCGATGAGCTTGCCGCCGGGCCTGAGCAACTTGTGCACATTTGCCATGGTCTCATCGATAGATCCAGTCTTGGGTAGGGCCTGCGAGGCAATGACAAGATCGTATGATCCGGCTTCGAAACCTTGGCCAGAAGGATCCTGCTGGATATCGAGCGTGCGGAACGACAAGATGCTCTTCCATGCTGCAAGGTTTTCCTCGGCAGCATCGAACAAGCTGTCGGAAGCATCAGTGAAATCGTACGAAGCGCAGAGTGAATCCTCGACTCCCAAGGCTTTGAGGACAGGGTAAGTTGCGCTGCCGCTGCCCGCGCCAATTTCGAGGATCTTAGCACGAGGATGCTTCAATCCAAACAGGCGAACAAGTTCTGCCAATTGGTTCCTGCTGCGGTCGAGGTTGAGAGACTCGGTGTAGAAGCGCTGTAGCAAGCGGTTCTCTTGCATCAACTCCAACGGTGCTGCGCGTCCGCACAGGATGTCGGCCAAGTGCGGTCCGACCTTGCAAACAAGGGCTCCATTGGCACTGACAGCCGCGACCTTGGCAATGAGCGCAGCCTTTTCTTCCTGTGTAACAGGAGCAACCTCGTTTGCCGAAACTTGAGACTCCATCCATGCGTGGTAGCGCTTGAAGTGCTCCTGAAGACCACTGACCTCTTCGGGAGTAATGGCCGCAAGAGCATCCTTGATGAACCAAGAGCATGCCAATCTCGTATCAGCCAAAGCCTGCAGCTCAACGAGATCGGGTTCGCTAGACAGCTTCTGCTTGATGTCTTCTGGCTTCATCATGGTTAGATCCGGAACCCACTTGGGAGTGAGGAACTTGTCGTTTTCACATGGCTCACGCTTGTTAAGAGCGTCACCAATAGACTGGAAGAGGAAGTCCTCGATAGTAATGACAACGTCTCCCTCGGCACCATCGACGACAGTGACTGCAGCCCTGAAGCCCTGCTTGTCGTTGTCTCGCACCTCGGAGAAGGCACTGAAAGTGTTGGGCGCGCCGTGCTTGATGCCCCCAGAGATCCACAAGTTCTTGATGGAACGTGGGACTTGTGCGGAGGGCAAATGAGCTCCAGCAGCAGGCAGTGCTGCGTAAATTGCCTGGAAGACGGTGTCAAGGGTGGTTGGGTGGATGACGTGCTCGTGCTCAAACTTGTACGGCATCAGAGAAGCCGTATCTCTGGTCTCAATGGTTGCGAGAGAGCCCTGAGGACGAGCTTGCACTGCCTTGAGATTCTGGAAGATGGGGCCGTGCTGGATACCCACGCGGTGCATGGAGCCATACACATCTGATGGGCTGACACGAGTCCTGTACTCCCTCTTTTCACGAACAGCCACAGGGGCCTTGGGAGCGGTCTTGCCGTCGTACTCGATGCAAATGAGACCTCGGCAGTGCTCATTCCACTTGTCGTCGTGAGTAACGGAGAAGACCTGGAACTCTCTCCAGCCCCTGGCGTAGATTGCCTTATCTCCACATGGCTTGAGTGACAATTGAACTTCAATGCCATTGTCGCCCTCTGGAATGACCAATGCAGCGAGCATGTCAATGTCACGCAGGCGGTATCCAGTGATGACCTTGTCAGTCTGCTGTTGGGCTTGTAGAAGACCTTCAAGAGCCATGCAGATGAAACCCGCTCCAGGATATACGACAGTACCCTGAAGCATGTGGTCGGTGATCCAAGGCATGGAAGAAGGCTTAATGACATGGCGCCAAGAAGGGTTGATGCGGTTGGTACCAGTGACAAGGGAACCAAGCAAGTCGTGAGGTCCCTCAGACAACATGCGATGCGCCCTGTTCATGCGTGGCTCGTACCAGTGACGGAGCTGATGGTTCCAGGCATACTTTGGAAGATCGGTGATTACTCGGCCTTGGGTTGTGAGATTGACTGCGGCCATCTTCAGCGGGAAGCCCTTGTGGGTCAAATCACACGCCAGCGTGTGCATGGTGTCGACAGCGTTCTTCTTGCGTACCAAGCAGCTGGCATAGCCAACTGTGGAACCGTTGAAGGCATCAAGCGTTGTAATGTCTTGGATGGGGCCAGAGAGAGCGGGATGAGCGCCGAGCTCGATGACCATGTCAACATCGCTGGGCTCCCCTGGGGCAGCAAAGCACATGTTGGTAAAAGCCTCAACGAAGAGCACTGGCTGAGTAAGACTCCTTACCCAGTGGTCCGCAGCGCCAATTTCCTCTACGTCCGTCATGCGCTGACCGATAGTGGGCGAAGAGTAAATGATGTCGCGCATCTTTGGTTGGGGCTTGATGTTCGCGTTCAGCCAGTCTGCGTAGGGCGTTGCGAGGGGCTCCATGTGGTGGGAGTGGTATGCCGCAGGTACCTGGAGCTTTCGTGCAAATACTCCCGCCTCCTTGAGGATCGTCTCCAGCTCATCGATTCCGGCAATGTCTCCAGAAATGGTTACGCTTGAAGGACTGTTCTGGCACGCAACAAGGACATGGCCGGCAGTGACACGCTCAACGTACTTCTGTACGTTATCGACACCAAGACCAACCGCCATCATACCACCCTTACCAAGGTTGGAATACTTTGCCACGTCGGCAGCAAGGAAACCACGAGCGTAGACGACGCCCATAGCGCTGCGGAGATCGAAGACACCTGCAGCGTAGGCACTGGCAATCTCACCGCTAGAGTGACTGCACACTGCCGATGGATTCACGCCCCAGGATTCCAATAAGCGGACCAATGCGATTTGCACAGCAACACACACTGGCTGACCAAGAGCCGCTTCGTTGACTCGGGTCGTCTTCTCGCTCTGGTAAAGCTCTTCAATCAGGCTCCATGGGGCGCCAAACTCGCGAAGGTACTTATCGGCCTCATGAAGTGTCTCGCGGAAGACCGGGTAGGCAGAGATGAGCTCACGTCCCATAGCCCACCACTGGGCACCCTGACCAGTGAAAACAAAGCCAATTCTTGGGACATCGCCCCTGCGCTTTGGCTTCATCTTTCCGGCATCGATAAGTCGGATGAGTTCGGAAATCGAAGAAGCAGAGGTTGCTGCTACCCAAGGGAATGCTGAGCGACGTTCTCCGAGGGTATATGCGAGATCGTTCTGGTACTCGATGCTATCCGTGACATTTTCGAGATGGTCCCGGAGGTTGGAAACCATTGCTGTCGCAGCGTGCTCATCTTTGGCGCTGAGGACGTAGACCTTGGAAGGGAGGGAAGAGGAGCTGCCAAAGGAACGCTCGGCAGGAGTGTAGTTCTCGAGAATAACGTGGGAGTTCGCGCCACCGTATCCAAAGTTGTTGACTGAGGCGCGGCGGAGAGATGCATTCCAAGGCTCAGTAGCTCGAGGAATCTGCAAGGTAAATACATGTTAACACGCCATCTTATTTTTTTCTGCGAATATGCAGGGGACTAGTGGGGTACGCACCTTCAGGTTCCATTCTCCAAGCTTCAACTTGGGGTTGATGGTCTCCAGGTTTGCCGCTGGGGGAATGAGTCCCTTCTCGATCGCCTTGACAACCTTGACGATACTGGCGAGACCAGACGCACACTCAGTGTGGCCGACATTGGGCTTGATCGAACCAATAGGTAGCGGGGTAGTGGTTGGTCTTGAGTCTTTGAACACGGCAGCAATAGCGCCAACCTCTAGGGGATCACCGGTAGGTGTTCCGGTTCCGTGGGCCTGGGCAAGGTTAGTAGTGAACATTCAGGGGTGGACAACGGCAAATACCTCGAAGTAGCCCGTGTCTTTTGGGTCTAACCCGGCTTTCTTGTACAAACGTCGCATCAGGTCTATTTGTGCTGCTTGACTCGGGGTAGTGATTGTCTCTGTCTTTCCGTCCTGGTTAAGACCAGTCTCTTTGATGACACACTGAATTGGGTCGCCATCGCGAATGGCATCATCCAGACGCTTCAACACAATGGTTGCTGCGCCTTCTCCACGACCGTAACCGTTCGCACGGCTGTCAAACGCAAAAGAGCGACCGTCCTTGGAGATCAATGCGATAGAAGACATGGTGATGAACATGTCGGGATTTAGCATGAGATTAGCGCCTGAAACTACAGACATGTCGGACTCGCGGTTGCGGAGGTCATTACATGCTTGGTGTAGCGCAGTGAGCGTTGTTGAGCAACCGGTATCGATGGACATGGATGCTCCTCGTAAATCGAAGTAGTGAGAAAGACGGTTCGATGCCATTGCAGAGCCGACACCGACAAGAAAGAAACGCGGCAGTGTTGTGACGTCGCGAAGTCCAGCATCATGGTAGTCCTTGAAAAAGGAACCTGCGTAGACTGATGTGTTGGAACCAATAACGTCTTCCATGGTAAGACCTGCATTCTCGAAGGCCTCATAGGTACCCTCGAGCATGAGCCTGAACTGGGGATCCAGGCACTATTTCTTCGTTAGTATTCAAGCTAAAGATGAATGGATAGTGATACTTACTGCTGCTGTCTCAGCGGGAAGGTTGAAGAACGTGGCGTCGAAGTTGCCAACGTCTTCATCAAGGAAACATGCTCCTTTTACGTTTGTTGTATTGAGGTTGTCCGGCCGAGGATGGTAGTGGCCGTCGATTTTGAATCTGTCCTCTGGGATTTCGCTCCATCCTGTTCGTCCTTCGGCGCACAGCTGCCAAAGTTTCTCGGGATCGGTGGCACCGCCAGCGAAACGGCAGCTCATGCCAATAATGGCAATAGGAACACTGGGTGCAGACATCTTTGTTGAATTTATGTGCAAATGGACTATGTCAGAGATGGATCATATAATGTGGAGATCCGTAGTCAAAGAAGATGTCAAATCTGTGCCCGCTGTGAGGAAGGGTGGAAGGAAGGAAGGTGCGCAATACAATCAAGTACCTTGGACCGCGAGGGACTTATGAATATAAGAATTATTTCCTGTAAACTAGACGGGTTCTAATACAAGTATTATAGATCGACGGTGTTGTAGTAACTACCCTGGTAACAACCCGAGTACCATTTCGTATCCACCAGGACCGCCTAGTCGGACCTGCGAGGCTCCGCAGCCATGGCGCCAATGTAATCGGCATATCACCGGGCATATATCGGATCTTGGTTTTTGCATTTTACGGCTAGTTAACCAACGGAGAGTGGGGCGCTGGTGTGATTGTGAGAGTCCGAACAGTTACTCCGAGGGTTCACAGAGCCAAGATAGTCCGTATCGGAGACACAATTCGCGGTCTCAAGCGGATTCCATCTAAATCTAGCCGGCATTTGTATTGAAGTTAGGATTCATGGTGGCTTGGGTGTTCGGGTGAAAAGATGTATATACATGCTATAGTGAATACTTGGAAATTGGACATCTTGTAGCACTACAAAGTCTCTGCACCACGTCAAGACGACAGTTCGAAGAGCCTCATGCCTCCGACGGTGCCTTTCTGAATCATACCCTCGTCCCATTTTCTTGTCCGCTTGGCTATCTCTGTACTTCTCCTATTATTTATCTATCCACTACATCCCGGACAAACAACAGTTTCCTCATATCCCCGTCCTGTTGTCTGTCGACCTAAACATCCTTCTACCAAACATGTCATCCGAGAAGCTCGGCACAAGTAACCCGGTGGTTGCTCTTTTTGGACCTCTTTCACCGTCCCTGTCGCAATCAAACCTCACCACACTTCGAGGCACTATTCTCTCTTCTTCACGATATGCGTGGGTCGACCAAGTACTCGCCTCACTGCCTTCGGATTACCAATCCTTAGTGAACAATTGTCCCGAATTACACAACAAAGCTAGCGAAGCACAAATCGTTGACTTAGCAGTGTGGTTAAAGACCGGACAATTGGCTCTAGGAGGAGAGCAGCTGCCCAACTCGATTCTCGCACCCCTTGTTGTGATTGCACAACTGGTGCAGTACGGGGCTTTTCTTGATAGCCAGGATGCCATCCAAGAGCAGCCTATCGTTGAGGAGACGGTAGGATTTTGCATTGGATTGCTGTCTGCTTTCGCTGTCTCCCTCTCCCCTCAATGTACGACCACAGAGTTTGCGCAAAACGCTGGAGTTGCCGTACGTTTGGCGATGCTTGCTGGCTGTGTTGTCGACCAACAGCAGCTGCAAGATCCCAGGGGTCCTTCGAACACATTTTCCGTCGCATGGAAGCGTGTCGATTCCAGAGACAACCGCAAGGAGTTGGAAGATATTCTTGCGAAGTTTCCAGATGTAAGTATTCTATCCCCCTTTCGTAACGTAACGATCTTCTTTGCTTCGCTTTGATCAATGTCCCCATTCTAACACATTACTATCTGAAGGCCTATATCGCCGTAGCATATGACACAACACGTGTGTCGCTCACCTCGAACGCTTCGATCTTCGAGCCACTCCAACGCGCCTTGCAAGATGCCGGTTTTGCCGTTACAGAACTTGGACTTTCAGGTCGTTTCCACAGCACACCCGACCACAACGTTGTATTCGACTCTATCGTTGAGTTTTGCGACAAGAATCCCAAGTTTTCGTTTCCAAGTAGCACATCCGCGCTAAACATCCCAACAAGGATTGACAGCAACGATGCCCCGCTCAAGGACCAGACAAGCATTCACAAGACTGCGCTTCAGTCTATTCTATTACACCGGTGCGAATGGTACAAGATTGTTTCCGAACTAAAATCGTCGTACCTCTCCAGCTCCACCTCCTTCGTCGCTTTCGGTGAACGTTGTATGCCAGCAAGTCTACTTAGCGGGCTCTCTGGACGCGTCACATATTTCGATGACCCAACTACGCCGGCACTAAGAGTGAACCCGAATGACGTTGCTGTTATTGGTGTTGCCATCAACGTCGCCGGTGCCTCCTCTGCCACTGAATTCTGGGATCTCCTCGCATCTGGAAAATCACAGCACCAACTCGTAATGGACGATAAGTTCACCTTCGAGACGACTTTCCGCGAGAACGACCCCAAGAGGAAGTGGTATGGTAACTTCATTGATGGAGTAGAAGACTTTGACCACAAGTTCTTCAAGAAGACACCAAGAGAAAGTACTGGCATGGACCCTCAGCAGAGGTTGTTGCTACAGTGTGCTTATCAAGCCGTCGAGATGTCAGGGTACTTCAATGACACCAAGCAGCAGGCTAATGCCGATGCGAATGGTCCTGACCCAAAGAACATTGGCTGTTACATCGGCATGTGCGGCAACGACTACGTGGCGAACACTTCGCACCACGCACCCAATGCCTTCACAGCAACCGGAACCCTTCGTTCGTTTGTTGCTGGAAAGCTTTCGCATTACTTCGGATGGCTCGGACCCTCGCTTACTCTTGACACTGCTTGTTCTGCGTCTGCAGTCGCCATTCACACAGCATGCCGTGCCATCTTGTCTGGAGAGGTCACTGCTGCACTAGCTGGTGGCACAAACACTATCAGTGAGCCAGGCGTTTACCAGAATCTTGCTGGTGCATCTTTCCTCAGCCCAACTGGTCCCTGCAAACCATTCGACGCAAACGCCGATGGTTACTGCCGTGGTGAAGCTGTGTCTGCTGTCTTCCTCAAGTCTCTTTCTCAAGCTCAGAAAGACGGGGACGCGATCATTGGTGTTATCTCTGGTACTGCCGTGGCACAAAACAGCAACGACACTCCTATCGTAGTACCCAATGCTCCTTCTCTGTCTACCCTTTTCAGATCTGTTCTTGAGACGTCCAATTTGAATGCACAGGATGTGTCGGTCGTGGAAGCACATGGCACTGGTACCCCAGTTGGTGACCCAGCAGAATACGCCGCGATCCGTCGCATCTTTGGCCAAGAGAAGGACAACGGAATCAAGAGACCTGTCCCTCTGCAGCTGGGCTCAGTGAAGGGTCTGGTCGGCCACACTGAGGGTAGCTCTGGAGCAGTCAGTCTTGTCAAAGTGCTTTGCATGTTGCACGAGGCCACCATCCCCCCTCAGGCTAGTCATACAGTCATGAACCCATCAATCGGAGCAACCAAGAGCGATGGCATTCAAATCACATTGCAGCCAAAGCCTTGGAATGCCGACTTCAAGGCTGCTCTCATCAACAACTATGGTGCAAGTGGAAGCAATGCTTCAATGGTTGTGACCCAGGCACCTAAGTTTAGGTTGAAGACCACCACCACTGGTCAAACTGCTCAGAACGATGCAGACCTCCGATATCCGTTCTGGTTCTCCGGTCTCGACGACAGGAGTATTCGCGCCTACACAGCCAAGCTCCAAGATTATCTTAAGCGGAGACCTAATACGTCCATTGCAGATCTCGCATTCAATATCTCTCGACAATCCAACCGCACTCTTCCTCGAGCTCGAATCTTGAGTGCGCGATCAGTTCCAGATCTTGTTGGCAAGCTCACTGAGCTAGAAAACGCAGCTACTTCTTCCATCGACGTTCTGCCATCTCGGCCCGTCATTCTGTGCTTTGGCGGCCAGCTGTCCACCACTATCAACCTCGATCGTGCAGTTTATGAAAGCAATGTTCTTCTGCGCCAGCACATGGACCGCTGCAATGCCATCGCTATCTCGCTTGGTATTGAGAGCCTCTACCCCGCTGTCTTCCAAGCCACGCCCATCGAGGACATCGTTCTTCTCCAGACTGCCTTGTTCGCTTTACAGTACAGCACTGCTCAGTGCTGGATTGAATGTGGTGTAAAGCCTGTCGCTGTGATCGGACACAGCTTTGGTGAGCTCACCGCTCTGTGCGCATCCGGTGTTCTCAGCCTCAAGGACGCACTGAAGCTGATCATTGGCCGGGCTACCCTTATCAGAGACAGCTGGGGCCCTGAGAAGGGTTCCATGGTTGTTGTCGAGGGAACCGAGGAGGAGGTGTTGAAGGTATTGGAAGATGTCGACCCGAGCCTCGACGCATCAATTGCTTGTTACAACGCCCCAAGATCACACACCATTGCCGGATCTGTAAGTAGCATCGATGCCGTCATTGCAGCAATCTCAGAGAAGCACGCGAAGCTGCGATTCAAGAAATTGAGTGTTTCCAATGCGTTCCACTCGGCTTTGGTTGCACCACTTCGATCCCAGCTCCAGCAAATCGGCGCCGAACTGACCTTCAACCCTGCCACCATTCCCGTTGAAAGGTCCATCGATACTTCAAAGACATCTCCAGAGTTCGATGCAGACTTTGTCGCTGATCACCTGCGAAACCCTGTGTACTTCTCACATGCTACGCATCGCCTCGCAAAGAAGTACCCATCCGCCATTTGGCTCGAAGCTGGCTCAAACGCTACAATTACGTCCATGGCAAGCAAGGCGCTTGATATGCCCCCAGCTCATCACTTCCAGGCAGTGAATCTATCCGGTACGCAGGGAGTTCAACGATTGACAGATGCCACCCTTGCACTCTGGAAAGCTGGCCTCCCTGTTACTTACTGGGGTCACTCAAGAGCACAGACAGAACACTATGCCGCCCTTCTCTTGCCACCATACCAATTCGAAAAGAAGAAACACTGGCTCGAGCTCAAGGCACCGCCGAAGCTTGCCGTTGCTGTAGTGGAAGAAAAGGAAGAGCTGCCGACAAAGTTGTACAGCTTCGTTGGTTACCAAGACACCAAGCAGTGTTTGGCTAAATTCCGCATCAACACCATGATTCCTCAATACGAGGAAATCGTTGCAGGTCATACGATTGCGGGCGTGGCACCGATCTGCCCCGCCACCGTGCAGATAGACATTGTCATCGAAGCAGTCAAGAGTCTCTCGAAGCATCTCTCAGTTGATGGCATCCAGCCGCAAATCCGCAGCATGACCAACCTCGTGCCTGTGTGTGTTGACAAATCGCGCTCCGTATGGCTCGATGTTGAAGCTTTGGACGCTAGCCGCACGGCCTGGAGCTGGAAGTGGACTTCTACTGGCCCGTCCGGTGGCATGCCTACGACTCACGTTTCTGGTGAGGTCCAGTTCCGCAGCGGAAGCGACATTCATTACCAGTCCGAGTTCTGCCGGTATGAGCGTCTTGTCAGTCATCGCCGATGCATGCAAATCCTGCACTCTGAGAACCCTGACGAAGTTCTTCAAGGCCAGAGAACCATCTACCGCGTCTTCTCCCCCATTGTCAACTACTCGCCCTTGTACTTTGGCCTGCAGAAGCTCGTTGGATTGGGCAATGAATCCGCTGGTCGCGTTGTCAAGAAGCATTCAGGTGAAAGCTGGCTCGATTCTTTCCTCTCCGATGCTTTCTGTCAAGTAGCCGGCATCTGGGTTAACTGCATGGCTGAAGAGAACGACAGGGACATGTGGATCGCTAATGGCATCGAGCAGTGGGTTCGCGCACCTACAATGACGGAGGCACAAACCCGATCAATTGAAAAGTGGCACGTCTTCGGACAGCACTCGCGCTCTGCAGACGGGCTTTCCATCCTATCCGATGTCTTCATCTTTGATGCTGCAACAGGAAGCCTGACTGAGGCCATTTTGGGTATTCAGTACGCCAAGGTCTCGCGAGTATCAATGGGCCGACTACTCTCTCGGTTGACACGCGAAGAAGCCGGAGCGGTGCAGTCACCAGCCCTCAAGAGCGTTGCTCCAGTCCTTATGACATCAGCCGACATTCCTACTCCTCCCACGCCCACAGTCGCAAAGATTGAGATTCCTCAGCCCCCTGCCCAAGCCGCAAAGAGCGCCCCCAATGATATTGTCCAGAGACTCAAGGCAATCTTGGCCGATATCTCTGGCCTCGAAGTCGATGAGATCAAGAGCAATGTTGATCTTGCCGATATTGGTGTTGATTCGCTTATGGGCATGGAGATGGCAAGGGAAATTGAGGGCGAATTCAAGTGCACCCTGCCACAGGACGAACTTGTCCACGTCACCAACTTCCCGGAACTGCTTCACTGCCTCGAGTCTTCGCTTGGCATATTATCCAGCAGTGGTGATTCATCTTCGTCTTCATCTTCCTCGGTGGACGAACAAGAAGGCACTGAAGGGTCTATTACGCCCTTGTCGGTCATTGAAGATGGCACTGGTTTCCCATTTGACTTTGAGATGCCTCAGTCCGCAGCTATCAAGGCCTTCAGCGAGGCGAAGATGGAGACTGACCAGCTCATGGAGAAGTTTGGTGCTCCTGGGTATCTCCAAACCATCGCACCTCAGCAGGACCAGCTTTGCGTAGCCCTGGTCGTTGAGGCATTCTCCAACCTAGACTGCGATCTCAGCGCGGCCAAGGCTGGCGAGGAGCTGCCATTCATCCCGCACGCCAGTGACCAGAAGAAGTTCGCGCAATACCTCTACACGGTTCTCGAAACCGCTCGCCTTGTGGACCTTGACAATGACAAGATTACTCGCACTAACGTGCCAGTTCCCACAAGAGCAAGCAGTGACCTTCTTCGCGAGCTACTCGACAAGTACCCTGAGCATGCATGCTGCAATGAGCTCGCATACTGGACAGGCTCGCATCTCGCAGGCATTCTCACGGGCAAAGAAGATGGCATCAAACTCATCTTCGGTACCGAGCGCGGTCGTGAGCTAGTCGGAGCTGTCTATGCTGACTTCCCTCTGAACAAGCTCTACTATGCTCAGATGGGCGACTTCCTTCGTCGTCTTGCAACATCGCCTTCTCGCCGCCCTGAACACGGTCCTCTCAAGATCCTTGAGATGGGAGCCGGTACTGGTGCCACGACCAACAGCTTGGTACCCCTCCTTGCCACCCTGGGCGTCAATATTGAGTACACTTTTACCGACCTGGCGCCTAGCTTCGTCGCTGCGGCGAGGAAGAAGTACAAGCAGTACCCTTTCATGAAGTTCAGGGTTCACGACATTGAGAAGGAGCCTGCGGCCGATCTGTTGCAAAGTCAGCACGTCGTCATCGCCAGTAACGCAGTCCACGCCACCCGCAGTCTTCCAGTATCTACAGGCAACATCCGCAAGATGCTCCGACCAGACGGTGTGTTGATGCTGCTGGAGATGACGGAGCCCATGTACTGGTGTGACATTGTCTTTGGTGTATTTGAGGGCTGGTGGCTCTTCGAGGATGGCAGGCAGCATGCTGTCGCCCCTCCACAGACATGGGAGAAGGTCCTCCACAGTGTCGGTTACGGACACGTTGACTGGAGCGATGGCAATGTTGAAGAGGTCAGGTGCGAGCGAGTCATCATCGCCACGGCAGGTGGCAAGCAACTCGAGCGTTTGAATGTCCCGTCGAAGCCTATCCAGCAAGAGGTGTGTACGATCCTGATCTCTATTGATTGACCGTCTAACTGAACTAGTAGGATTTTCGCCACGATGAACGGAGAGCGGCAACCGACAAACTCATCGAGTCGATGACCACGGGATTCGCACTGCCTGCACAGGTAGAGCCAAGTACTGTCGATACTAGGCCGACTGGGCAGTGTGTTCTCATCACCGGCGCCACTGGTAGCCTTGGATCGCACATGCTCGCCCACTATGCCAACCTTCCAACCGTATCCTCAGTAATAGCCTTCAATCGACGCAACAAATCCTCGGGCTTGGATCCCCTCGGGCGCCAGCTCGCTGCTCTCAAATCACGGGATCTCACTCTTTCTCCTTCAGCATCGGACAAGATTTCTGTTTACGAGGTAGACATGACGAAGCCGTTCTTCAGCTTGCCACAATCCACCTACGACCAACTTGTCAAGTCCGTCACGCATATTGTCCACAATGCTTGGCCCATGAACGCCAAACAACCCTTCTCTGCTTTTCTCCCGCAATTCCGCGTTCTTCGCAGCCTAATCGACTTTGCTGCACTGATTTCTGCCAATTCATGTTCTGATTCCAAAGTTGTCTTTCAATTCATATCTTCGATTGCGACTGTGGGGCATTACCCCATACACGAGGGGACACCGCACATCCCCGAGCAGCGCGTCACCATCGAGCACGTTCTGCCCAACGGTTACGGAGATGCGAAATTCGTATGCGAGCGCATGCTCGATGAAACACTGCACAAGCATAGTTCCCGCTTCAGTGTCATGGCAGTGCGACTCGGCCAGGTCGCCGGGTGCTCCGCCTCGGGCTACTGGAACGAGAACGAACACCTACCTTTCCTCATCAAGAGTTCGCAGACACTGAGGGCACTGCCAAAGTTCGAGGGCCCAGTGAGCTGGACACCCGTCGACGCGGTAGCGGCAGTGTGTGCGGACCTTGCTCTCGGCGAATCTACCGCCGGGGGCGTTTATCACATCGATAATCCCGTTCGTCAGCCTTGGAGCAAGATGCTACCCCTCCTTGCTTCGGAGCTCGGCATTCCAGAGAAGAACATCATCTCGTTCAAGGAGTGGATCAAGCGTGTTCGTGCGTTCCCCCACGAGGCTACTCCGGGCCAAGCGGACCTAAATCCAGCGAAGCGCCTGGTGGATTTCCTAGAAGCGGACTTTACTAGAATGAGTTGTGGAGGTGTATTACTAGGTACTGAGAGGAGTCTGAAGGACTCGGCGGCCATGAGGGGTGTTGGCAGTGTTGACGACGAAATTGTACGACGATATATTGGCAGTTGGAAAGTACGGGGGTTCCTTGCGTAGATTCTGTTTTGTAATTAATGTACTATACAACTATACATGTTATGATGATAATCCGATGTTCCCCGATGCTCTCCGAGAACCGTGATTTGTGCTGATAGGGCGAGTTGGGAGAGTAAGATTTTGGTGTATGCAGTACTCAGTCTCATCCGATGTACCGACTTGTGCCGTAAAACGTCTCATGTTTACTTGGACTTCCCTGTCCCGGCATTGCCCGGCAAAAGTGTGCAAGGACCAGGAGTTCGATTCTCCTTGTCATCTTATGAAAAAAACATAAAAGTATTATGCATATACGTAATCTTACAGAGTGAAGCTAGTCTTCGGGCGAGTTCGATTCTGCCTGTGCAGTACCGTTTTAATGACCAAAACCCGCAAGTAAGCAAGGTAGAAAGAGCTTTACTAATGCAAGGCCTAGGCTCTATTGGCCTTGATCTTCCTAAGAAGTTCTGTTTCCAGATAGAATGTGTTAAGGGCGAAGAGGCCTTCGAACGAGTTTGCATTAGCCTATAGTACAGAAGAAGAAAGATAAAGAGAGTTAAGTTGTTGTACGACACTTCTCTCTTTATACCC